AGTGCAGGTTTGTCCTGGAATTCACTCTATAGACCAGGGTAGCCTCAAATTCCGAGATTCACCTGCCTCTGCCTTCCTAGTGATGGGATTAAATTGGTTTGCTACCACCACTGACCAAATTCGTTTTTTAAATGTACTTTTCCTTTTCTTGAAAATAGCTTCTGCTTAAAAGGTAGATTCTCCCCCCCCCCAGCTTGCTGAATTGTGATCAGAACCCAAGTGTATTGTCAAATGCATGTTTTTTGTTGTTGTGGTTTTGGTTTTTGGTTTTTGAAGACAGGGTTTCTCTGTATTGCTTTGGAGCCTGTCTTGGAACTCCCTCTGTGTACCAGGCTGGCCTCCAACTCCCAGACATCCATCTGCTTCTGCCTCTCAAGTGCTAGTAGTATTAAAGGTATGTACCACCAACACCTAGCCCAAATGCATGTTTTTTTTCACTCTGAGATTTTATTATCTTATTTGATGTGTATGAATGTTTGCCTGAATGTATGCCTATATAGCACATAAATGCAGTGCCATTGGAGAGCAGAATAGGGCATCAGAACCCTGAAACTGGAGTTACAGGTTGTTGTGAGCCACCATATGGAAAAGTAGCAAGTACTCTTAGCTGCTGAGCCATATCTGCAGCTCCAAACATATGCAATCTTAGCAACCTGTAGCATTGTGAGTTCCACATCAGCCTGGCCACATTCAAGATTGTCCATCAAAAAAAACAGCAACAAAGCAACCAGCAGTGCATGGTAGGACATACGATTTCCATATTCAAACATCCTAACAGATAATGTGGTTCAGATGAACAGTAGCAGCAGCAGATATCTAATAAGATGAAATCTTTGGGAATATCTGCAATCTTTGTATGTTTGTATATTTGTGATGTGTTTGGGGATGCTATTGTGTGACAACACTTTTCCGGGGCAAATGCAACACATATATTTACTCACGCCTAGATAGGTAGCTCACTACAGGATTGGACCAAATTCCAACTTGGTAAACCAATGAGTGTTGTTAGCATTTGTAGTGAGATATCCACCCTGCCTGAACCTACTGCTCTGACCATGCCCATTGGGGCGTGGGGGCAGGTATGGAAGTGGAGTGGATATCTCATTACTAGGATTAGTGACAGGAATATGCCTGAGGGGTTACTTACAGGAACAGAAATTATTCAAAGCCAATTTAACATGGATGACAGCTCACAAAAGCTGGGAACCTGGAGCACACTTCACAGCCCACAGGCAGCTCATCAAGTCGGGCCTCAGTTGGTTTAATTTTCCTCAAGGTAGCTAAGCTGGATTCTGCTTCTTCCAGGTAGCAGGACCAGTCCCAGAGTGTTTACAGCTCAGTTTTTCTGAGAGTAGTCCTTCTTCTTTTTATTTTATTATTATTATTTTTTTAATTTTGTGAGTGCTCTGCTTGAATAACAGAAGAGGGCATCTCATTATAGATGGTTGTGAGCCACCATGTTGTTGATGGGAATTGAACTCAGGACCTTGGAAGAGCAGCCAATGCTCTTAACCTCTGAGCCATCTCTACAGTCCTCAGAGTTTTCTTTGCCTCCTTTACACTTGGGAAGAAGGGGCCTGGTGAATCTGGTCAGTTTCAGGGAGACTTTCTGAAAATACTTTGAGTTGTTTACCTTGGGGTCTTTCCCCCAAACACACACACACACACACACACACACACACACACACACACACACTGTTTCTCTGTGTATCTCTGGTTCTCCTGGAGCTCACTATGCAACTCAGGCTGGCCTCTAACTCACAGAGATCCTCCTGCCTCTGCCTCCCGAGTGCTGGGATTAAATGTGTTTGTTCATTACCACAGCGCAGCACATCCAGATGCTCTTAACCACTGAGTCACAAAAACCTAAATTAATAATTTAGAGGCACGCTGATTCAAACCTGTAATCCCAGTTACTAGTGGAGAGTGGAGGAGGAGTGCAAGGAGTTTGTAGCTAGCCTTAGCTGCAAGCGAATTTCAGGTCAGCCTGAGCTATAATGTGAGATCCTGAATGAAATAGCACCTTAACACCAAATAATCTAAATTATTAAGTTTATTTGTGTGGAGGTAATTATTGTAACTTTAATTAAATTTCCTGTCTGTATAATTTATTTTTAAAATTTGTGATTTATTTATTTTTATTTGATGTGCATTGGTATTTCACCTAGATGTATGTCTGTGTAAGGTGTTGGATCTCCTGGAGCAGGAATCACAGATAGTTATGAGCTTCCTTATGGGTGCTGGGAATTGAACCTGGTCCTCTGGAAGAAAAGCTCCAATGAGTCATCTTTCCAGCCACATAGCTGCCTATCTTTCTATAATCCAAATAGAAACTTTCAGATCTTTTTTTGGGGGGGGGCTGGCAATGAACTATTACCACAGAGCACTAACCCACTACCTCTGGAGGGTGTGCAAATAAAGCAACAGAAGCATTCCTTGAATCGCTGAGTTCAAAGTATTTCTGCAAAATGAAACACTCCTTATTTTCCCTTTTATTTTTGAGAGCAATCTTTTATTTTTACAAAAGCACTCTTCTCCCTGGTTATTGTGAGAATTCATGGAGTTTACAATATTTTTTCCTCTCTGTGTTTCTCTGTGTAACAGCTCTGATTGTCCTAGAACTTACTCTGTAGACCAGTTTACAAATTTTGTATTGAAAAAATTTGAGAGGCACACATGGCAAGACATGCCTATAATTCCGGTGTTTTGACACTTGAGCAGATGAATGTTCTTCGAATCTAGAGAACTTCTCCAAGACAGAAGGAGAGGTGAGGGGATGAGGGAAGATAAGGAAAAAAGGGGGAAGATGAAGAGAAAAAAAGAAAAAGAAATTTTGGATACAAGATTTCCTAAGTTTGTCAGGCAGTGATGGCTCATGCCTTTTAATTGTAGCACTTGGGAGGCAGAGGTAGGGGAATCTCTGTAAGTTCAAGGCCAGCCTGGTCTACAGAGCTAGTTCCAGGACAGGCTCTGAAGCTACAGAGAAACCCTGTCTTGAAAAAACAAAAACAACAAATATTTTCTAGGATAGAATTTTATCCACCAGAAGTATGTGTAATGGGAACACTCCTAAGGGAGCATACAATTACTTCCTATACCCTCTGCAAATGTGCTTTGAGCCATGTTTTGAGTTTCATCTTCTTCTTTTTGTAGGAATTTGACTTTTGTGATGGCAAAACACTAGTCTTTTTAAAAAATATTTTATTTATTCTTTATGTATATATAGTGTTCTGTCTGCACGTGTCCTTGCAGGCCAGAAGAGGGCACCAGATCCCGTTATACATGGTTGTGAGCCACCATGTGGTTGCTGGGAACTGAACTCTGGACTGCTGGAAGAGCAGCCAGTGCTCTTTCTTCTTAAATCATTTTTATTTTATGTTCATTGATGTTTTGCCTGCATGTGTGTCTGTGTGAAGGTGTCAGAAGTCCTGGAACTGGAGTTACAGACAGGCATGAACTGCCATGTGGGTGCTGGGATTGAACCTGAATCCTCTGGAAGAGGAGTCAGTGCTCTTAACCGCTGAGCCATCTCCAGCCTTCAATCTCACCTTAGTCTATCCCAAAGTTTTCATTCAGCTGCCCTTCAACTTCTCAGGATAAAGAGCCTATTTTTGTATAAAATGTTCACAGTACATTCAATCAAGCCTTATTTTTTCTTTTTAAATATTTATTTATTTATTTATATGTATGCAGTGTTTTGTATGCATGTATGTCATCAGAACAGGGCACCGGATCGCATCACAGATGGTTATGAGTCACCATGTGGTTGCTGGGAATTGAACTCAGGACTCAGCAGTCAGTGCTGTTAACCTCTGAGCCATCCACAGTGCTTGCTTTAAAGGCGTGCGCCACCACGGCAAGGTTGTTGGTTGTGAGGGCAGAGAAAATGAATGCAAAATGCCTGGCACTCAGTGGCAAGCTTTGTTTAAACATTTAGACTTCAGTTGTAATGTCCGCAATGTTCACTGTTCACCTGTCCCTTGTTTAAAGAAAAAGAAAGAAAGAAACGCCAGGCGGTGGTGGGCATGCCTTTAATCCCAGCACTCGGGAGGCAGAGGCAGGTGAGTTCGAGGCCCGCCTGGTCTACAGAGCGAGTTCCAGGACAGTCCCCAAAGAACCAAAAAAAAAAAACCAAAAACAAAAACAAAAAACAATCCTGCCCCAAGAAGAAAAAAATTTCTGACAACGAATAGCCTTCTTACAAGCGTGGTAAAATATAACGCGTCTCCACCAGACCCTGGGAGTATTTACCCAATGAATTACCAGTTAGGTTTGAGTTTTAAAGGTAATCTCGGCGACTTCCGCTTTCATGAAGCTCTCCAAAGGGGGAGTTGGAAACTTATCGCGAGAGTCTAACGGGACGCGTTTGTGGCTTGGGTCCTGTTCTCGCGTTGTCTGGCGAAGCAATGGGTCGAGGTGAAAAGGGAGCGCGAAGTATCGCGGGAGTCCGGTGGAATCTCGCGATACTTGTGCAGCTCGCCCCTCCCCCTCCGCCAAGTGCCGTTTCGGTTTAATCTAGTGTGTGACTGAGTCTGTGTGAGGGAGTGAAATGTGTATGTGAGGTGTCGGCTGAGGCGGAGGCTAGGAAAGGGGCTCCCTCAGGAGCGGGGGACAAAGGGGGAGGTGAGGCAGCCTAGGCCGCGGAGCCCGGGCCACCGGGCAGGGGAAGGGCCCGCGCAGTCCTTACAGGGCGCCAGAGCCGGAGTCGGCCCCTCAGGCTCGGGCGGTCGGCTTCCTACTTCCTTGAGCTCCCGGGCTCGCGGGCCTGGAGAGTGGCTCGGCGGGGTGGGCAGCGGCCAGGGGCGGACTCGAGCAGCTGCGGGCGCCTCGCTCTCCCACTGCCGAGGAACTCTCATTTCTTCCCTCGCTCCTTCACCCCCCACCTCATGTAGGAGGGCGCTGAGGAGGCGAGAGGGAGGAGGAGCCTGGCCTAAGGTCCCTTCCCTCCCCACCCCCTTCTAGGGGCTCTTTTGGTGGGCGTGGAGTTGGGGCTGGGGGGGGAGGGTGGGGCTTTGTGGAGTGCTGGGGAACTTTTCCCCTTCTTGAGGCTCGGGGAAAGGGAATGCCCAATTCAGAGAGACATGGGGCCAAGAAGGACGGGAGCGGAGGAGCTTCTGGAACTTCGCAGCCGTCATCGGGAGGTGGCAGCTCCAACAGCAGGGAGCGTCACCGCTTGGTGTCGAAGCACAAGCGGCATAAGTCCAAGCACTCCAAAGATATGGGGTTGGTGACCCCCGAAGCAGCATCTTTGGGTACAGTAATCAAACCTTTGGTGGAGTACGATGACATCAGCTCTGATTCAGACACCTTCTCGGATGACATGGCCTTCAAATTAGACAGGAGGGAGAACGACGAGCGTCGCGGGACGGATCGGAGCGACCGCCTGCACAGACATCGACACCACCAGCACCGGCGGTCCCGAGACTTGCTAAAAACTAAACAGACCGAAAAAGAAAAAAACCAGGAAGTCTCCAAATCTGGATCTGTGAAGGACCGGATATCGGGAAGTTCAAAGCGTTCGGTGGAGGGGAATGATGACTATGGGAAGGCACAAATATCCAAAAGCAGCAGCAAGGAATCCAGGTCATCCAAACTCCACAAGGAGAAGACACGGAAAGAACGTGAGTTAAAGTCTGGACACAAGGACCGGAGTAAAAGTCATCGGAAAAGGGAAACACCCAAAAGTTACAAAACGGTGGATAGCCCAAAGCGGAGATCCAGGAGTCCCCATAGGAAATGGTCTGACAGCTCCAAGCAAGATGACAGTCCTTCAGGAGCTTCTTATGGCCAAGACTATGACCTTAGCCCCCCAAGGTCTCACACTTCTAGCAATTATGACTCCTACAAGAAGAGCCCTGGGAGTACCTCAAGAAGGCAGTCAATCAGCCCACCTTACAAAGAGCCTTCTGCTTACCAGTCCAGCACTCGGTCACCCAGCCCCTACAGCCGACGACAGAGGTCTGTGAGTCCCTATAGCCGGAGACGGTCATCCAGCTATGAAAGGAGTGGCTCTTACAGCGGGAGATCGCCCAGCCCCTATGGTCGAAGGCGATCTAGCAGCCCTTTCTTGAGCAAGAGGTCTCTGAGTCGGAGTCCAATCCCCAGGTGAGCTATTACCTGTCTTTGTTGAAGTAGGGTGGGTTGGGAGGGATTGGCAGTCTTTATAACATTTTGTTAAAGTTTGCTTTAACTAGGTTGGCTAATCATCTAGGTAAGACTGGCTTTCCCTTAACCCATAATTGAGAAGTAAAGTTCACATGCCTCCAACTGCTCAAACAAGGTAGGTAGGTACTTTTCAGTAGTGGGGAATCTTCAGTTGTAAGAAATCACACTTCTGCTTAGGGAGTTCATAGTCTCCAAAACTACTTGTTGCTTTGTTTTAAAACTTTGTAAGTCACGTTAGTACCAGTATTTAAACCTTATTGGAACTCACAAGAGAATTGAGAAATTATAAACTTTCATTTCTATTATTTTGAGTCTGTTTGCCTGTTAACCTAGCAATTTTGTCTAGATATGTCCCCAGATCTATAATTATTAGTTACCTTACTGAAGAACACTATCTTGTAACTGTAATGAAAATTGAGCTAATGAGGCAGTTTTCTTTTTGACATATAGCTTAGCAAAAAGAGAGAGGTTCCAGAGACAGTTTGTTGAATTTTTATTTTGGTATTTTTGATTTTTTTTTTTTTAACAGCACCAGTGTTGACTTACCTTGTTAACACTAGCAAATTTCAAAATCTTCCTTAAAATATGTGGTACTAATGCCTTCAGCTTGGTATTTTTGTAAGGAAGGTCTGTCAACTTGAAATTGTGGAAAATTGTGTTCTTGTCTCATGTGTGGACCCATCTCTGTCCACAAAAACAACAGGAGCTTTATTTCAGTGGAATCTTAATATTTCCTTGTAACCTTTTGCAAATGATTTAATTTGTCCACACCTGAGTTTCTTCATGTGGAAATAGGAATAAAATCTGCCTACTTCAAGGCAGTTGTGAAGATTAATAAATATGAAGCATGTTACTGTGTCTTGTACATAGGACTCAGTACATTTTATGAGTGAAGAGCACTGGTAAAAATTAGCTTATGCATGTGTTTTATAAGTCAGTAGGTCAGTGTATGTTTCATTGTCTTTTTTTTTTTTTTTTTTTTTTTTTTTCTTTTCAAGACAGGGTTTCTCTGTATTGCTTTGGAGCTTGTACTGGAACTAGTTCTGTAGACCAGGCTGGCCTTGAACTCCACGTACCTCTGCCTCCTGAATGTTGGGACTAAAGGAATGAGCCACCAGTGCCTGGCCCTATTTCACTGTCTTAAAAATACAATTTAAGTGTATTCTCTTAACTACAGTGCTTAAATTATCTTAGTATTTCTCATTCAGTAATTTAAAAGATTCAAACATAGGTTGAAATAATTATAATAAACATGCATGTATCTAACACCTTGATTTTCTAATTAACATTTTGTCACATCTGTTTATCTCCATTAGTCCATCTTTTGTTTAGATTCATCTCAAAAGTCATAGCAAACAGCATACCTTTGTAAACATCTAGCATGTATACCATTTCTTAGAATTTATGATTTTTTGAAGAGGTATGATTAAACAGAATACATAAGTCATATATGTACCATTTATAATGTTGGATAGTTTTGAAAGGGAATCTAAGAAACATTCTCAGAATTTTGTGTTTTTTAGACAGGGTTTCACACTGCAACTTGTGGCCTGAAATTAGCTATGTAGCCTATGCTGGTCTCAAACTAACCTGAAATTTCCACCAATCCTGCCTTAACTCTTGGCTATTGGGATTACAGACAGATAATATTAGGCAGAATGTTTGTTTTCTTGAGAGTAATATTAAGGTTACTTGAAAGATTTTTTTTACTGTTGAGTTTGGAAATACAAAAGGCCAAAACAGGATTTTGGTCAAGAGCTTTTGTCTTGAAATCATTCCTTTTAGACAGACTCTTAAAGAAAATATCAGATATCAAGTTCTCTTAAGTGAATTGAAAAAATTGTGTTCCTTAATTGAAAGTAGTGCAGTGATGGCAGATGTAAATCCAGAGGAAGTGGAGACAGTGGGGATGCAAATATAAAATATTGGAAACATGCATCCTTTTTTTTTTTTTTTTTTTTTTTTGGCTTCTAGAAAACATTATTTGTACCCACACATTACATAATTTTATTGGAATTCACAACAGTAAATAGCGCAAAAAAAAAAAAAAAAAAAAAAAAAAAAAAGGAACCTGAGCAGCCTGGCACACATCCATAATTCCAGGTTTTTGATAAATTTAGCAAGTGGATTTTGATTTTTAGGCTAGCCTGTGTTATTTGAAATCCTGTCTCAAAAAAGACCAAACAATGAATGGACGGACAAGATGGCTAAATACCTGTTTGATCTTCAGTTATCCTCCAACTTCCACAGATGATATACATGCACAGTAATAATTTTAAAAATCTATTTATTTATATCTTTTCTCCTCCCTCACCTTCCATAGGGTTTCTCTGTATAACCCTGGCTATCTGGGACTTGCTCTGTAGACCTGGCTGCCTCTTGCCTCCATAGTGTTGGGATTAAAGGCTTGTGCTGACATGCTGGCATAAGAAATGAAAAGGCCTCTTTCCCCTTCAAAAAGAGAACTGGTGATATAATTCAATTTACATAGTATACTTAGGTTGTATATTCAATTTTGTGGGGGGAGCTTTTTAAGACAGGGTTTCTCTCTGTAGCTCTGGCTGTCTTGGCACTCTGTGGTAGACTCTTCATTTGGGAAAAACGAAACTGGAAGCAAGCACCATTTTAGTTGTGGATCAGTGTTTGGGAATGAACTCGGATTTTTGCATGTTAAGCAAGTCCTCACCAAGTAGACCAGGCTGGCCTAGAACTAATTCACCTGCCTTTGCTTCCCTGGTACTGAAATTGAAGGGCGTGGGCCACTACACCCAACTTTATTCTTGATAGAGTCTAACTGTAATCTAGGCTGCTCTAGAATTCCATATGTGAACCAGGCTGTGCTTGAACTCAGATTTCACCTGCCTCTGTCTGTCTATTACTGTAATTAAAGGTGTTTGCCACAACAGTCAAGTCCAATACCTTTCTTTTTTCTTTTTTCTTTTTTCTTTTTTTTTTTTTGGAGACAGGGTCTCATTATGTAGCTCTGACTGTCCTGGAACTCACTTTGTAGACCAGGATGGCCTTGAACTCACTGAGATCCACCTGTCTCTGCCTCCCAAGTGCTAGGATTGATTAAAGGAATGTGCCACCACTGCCTGGCAAGACAGGATCTTAATGCAGACCAAGCTGTATTGAATGCACAGAGATCTCCCTACCTCTTCTTTTTTTGATTTTTGTTTTTTCAAGACAAGGTTACTCTATGACTTTGGAGCCTGTCCTGGAACTAGCTCTTGTAGACCAGGCTGCCTCGAACTCAGAGATCCACCTGCCTCTGCCTCCTGAGCGCTGGGACTAAAGGCATGGGCCATCATATTTGGCTGTAGTCAGTTTTAGTGGTTTAGATTGTTGGTTTTTCCTCACAATGAATCTTGAGCAGGATTGTAATTAGAAATCCATTTGTGTCTGTTTCACAGACACAAGGATTTACTAAGGTACGAAAGGGGGAAATATACTCATGAATAAAGGATATGGTAAATCCAGTTGCAGAGTCCTTGGAAAGCTAGGGACCAGTCATTCACTACTTCATGCTGCCTGACCTGGTCTTCACCACCCAAGAGTGTGAGACCACCTTAGTCCTTCCTTATAAGAGGCAAACAAGAAGCACCATCTCTATCAGGCCAGATAGCCCAAGGTCATGGGCTGAGCAAATAACCATTACACAGGACTATATATAGTAAAAGAAGTCATTAATGAATAAAAAAGTAATTAATAAGACTTTAAAATAACCTTTCGTAAGGATTTCCAGATTTTTTTTTTTTCTGAGACAGGTTTTGTAGACTTGGCTGACCTCGAACTCAGAGATCCGCTTGCCTCTGCCTTCTGAGTGCTGAGATTAAAGGTGTGGGCTACCACCTGCTGGCTAGATTTCCAGATTTTATTTCACAGTCATTCCTCATAAAATTTTTTGTTGAACTGGAAAAAATGGCTTAGTAGTTAAGAACATTAACTGTAGCTGGGCATACATACCTATCAAATTTCAGGCCAGCCAGAGCTACATTGTGATTTCCCATTTCAAAAACAAAACAAACAAGTTTGTTTGTGCATGTAGTAATTTCTTGTCTTACATGTCCTAAAAAGTTGATTGGAAATCATTTTCTGTTAAAGGAACTAAGACCTTTAATATCAACCAACACACAGGAGACTAAGACAAGATGATCATAATTATTAGACCAGCTTAGTCTATGTAATAAAATCTTGTCTCAGAGCACTAAAAGATAGAAAGAAGTGTTAGGACCGGTAATATAGATCAGTAGTAGTAGGCTGTTTCTTAGTGAATGGAAGGCCTTGGATTCAGTCTTCAGTACTTAAAAATGAAAAAAGATGCCAACAATTGTAGTTTTTAAATTTCTAAATTTTATATATTAGGCATTTGTTTCCTATAGACACAACTTTATAATAAACCAAGGCTGTAAAGTAGTACCATAGTTAAAATTTAGGGAAGTTGGGCTGAAGTGTTGGCTCAATGGTTAGGGACATTGGTGGTTCTTCCAGAGGAACATTGACTCACAAACATCTCTAAATCCAGTCAGTTCCAGGGATTCTGATGCCCTCTGAACTCTTGACACTGGGCACAGACATGGTGCTCTTGCAGAAATACAGGCAAAAATTTATAAAACAAAATTTCTCAAAATAAGCATTTTGAGTACGACTACATTCTAAAGTGGGCAAGTATTATGCCATCTTGATGTAAGTACATAATAGGCAATTTTGGTGCTTTCCTGTTTCTTGAAAATTTATTTTTTTGTTTCAAGACAGGGTTTCTTTGTGTAACCTTGTGTGACCTAGAACTAGTTCTGTAGACCAGGCTCACCTTGAACTGAGAGATCCTTCTGCCTCTGCTTCCCTAGTGCTACGAGTATAGTTATGAGCCACCACTACCTGCTAATTTTATTTTATTATTTCATTGCAACAATTCTGTCTCTGCCTCCTTAGTCTGTGATTACCAGTATGTGCTGTTACCATTCTGTTTTACTTGTTTTTGTTTTGTTTGAGACAGGGTCTTACTTTATAGTTTAGGCTGGCTTGAAACTTCCTTTGTAGTGCAAGACTGTCTCAAATTCACAGAGGTCCTAAAAGCATGAACTTACCAACCCAGATGGTTGGTTATTTTTTTCTTTTGGGGGGATTTATTTTTATTAAATTACGTATGTGTTTGTGTGCATATATGCTCATGAAGGCCAGAGTCTCTAGATTCCCAGATCTTAAGTTACGGGTGGTTCTACCCATTGTGGGTGCTGGGAACCAAACTTGGGTCCTACGCTAAATTAGTACCCATTTAACCACCAAGCCATATCTTCTAGTCCCTTATTTGTTTTGGAACAAGGTCTGAATATAGTTCAAGCTGTTAGGGAACTCACTGTGTGGTTCATACTTGGCTGCTCAGTCTCTGTAATTCTTTTGCCTTGGTGTCCTAAGTGCAGGGATTACAAATAGGAGCCAAGTCCTAGCCAAATGAATTTTTTAGTTTTACTTAATTCAAATATATATTCATGCAGAGTCTAGAATTTGTATTTTGTTTTTAGATATAGTCTCATGTAACCCAAGCTGGCTTTGAGTTTTCTGCATTGCATAGTAGAGGATGCCTTTGATTTTTTTTTTTTCTTTTCTAAATACTTTAAAATTTTATTTTATGTATGAATGTTTGCCTACATGTATGTATATGTATGTGTACCATGTACATGCCTGGTATTCAAGGAGATACGTAGCTTTTGGATGGTTTGAGCTACCAAGTAGGTACTGGGAAGTGTTTTTAACCACTGACCCTTTTCTTTTTGAGACAGTTTCTTTGTGTAGCCCTGGTTGTCCTGGAACCTGCTCTGTAGACCAGGCTGGCCTTGAACTCACAGTGTTCTGCCTGCATCTAGTCCCAACTTTGTACCAGCCTCCCTTCCTCCCTCCCTCTCTTCCTCCTGTGTGTGTTTTCTGAGGCGAGGGTCTCACTATGTAGCTCTGACTGGCCTGGAACTCACTCTGTAGACTAAAATGGTCTTGAACTCACAGAGATCCACCGGTCTGCCTCCCACGTCCTGGGGCTAAAGGCATGCACCATAATGCCTGACTTGCTTTATATTTTTATTTTATTTGTATAGATTGTTTGCCTGTGAAGTCTATATACCATGTACTTGCAGTTCCTTGGGAGGCCAGAAGAGGAAGTTTGTTAATCGGAACTAGAGTAACAGTAAATTAGCCATCATGTGGGTTTTAGGATTAGAGCCCCAGATCTAGACCCTATTTTTTGCTGACCTATTGTCCTCTTTATGTCTCTGTATATTGTCTATTTAAACTGTTTTTTCTTTTTTTCAGTAGGAAATCCATGAAGTCCAGAAGCAGAAGTCCTGCATATTCAAGACACTCGTCTTCTCATAGTAAAAAGAAGAGATCCGGGTCACGCAGCCGTCATTCCAGTATCTCACCTGTCAGGCTTCCATTGAATTCCAGCCTGGGAGCAGAACTCAGTAGAAAAAAGAAGGAAAGAGCAGCTGCTGCAGCAGCAGCAAAAATGGATGGAAAAGATTCCAAGGGTTCACCTATAACTTTGACTAAAAAAGATAAAGTTGAGGTGAAGGAGTCAGGGTTAGAGTGTAAAAAGTTACCCAGAGGTATAAAGTCAGAAAAATCTACCCCAGATACTGAACTGGTAAATGTGGCACATTCAAACACAGAGGTAAAAAATTGTTTAGATACAGGGAAAGTTAAGTTGGATGAAAACTTGCAGAAGCATCCTGTTAAGGATTTGAAAGCACAGGGAACAAAAGACGCTAAGCCTGTAGCACCGAAGGAAGTAATTGTTACTTCAAAGGAGACAGAGACATCAGAAAAAGAGGCCCTTCCACCTGTCCTCACAGTTACTTCTCCACCCCCTTTACCGTCCACTACCCCTCCACCTCAGACACCCCCTTTGCCACCCTTGCCTCCACTACCAGCTGTTCCCCTGCAGCCTCCTCTGCCTCCTCCCCAGCCACCATTTAGTCAAGTTCCTGTTTCTAGTACTTCAATTTTGCCCTCATCTCCTCACCCAAGGACATCTACTCTATCCTCTCAGACAAATTCTCAGCCCCCTGTACAGGTTTCTGTGAAGACTCAAGTATCTGTAACAGCTGCTATTCCACACCTGAAAACATCAACATTGCCTCCTCTGCCCCTCCCTCCCTTGTTACCTGGAGATGATGACATGGATAGGTAAGTCCTATAATAGGATGAAAGAAGTTAGTCTTTATAATGTATTTTCTTTTTAAGATTTTTAAAACTATTAGAATGCATATCTTTTCAAGATGCGCTTATGGTTAGGAATTGCTGTTTTGTAATTTAGTGGAAAATTCATTCTTGTATTGCTTGAGAGTAGAGAATGAGAATTTTGTGGGGTTTTTTTTCCTTTCATTTTAAAAAACTTACCTTATTTTTGAGTGTGTATACTGTGTCTTAGTGTGGAGGCCAGAGAAAAATTTGGTGGGAGTCAGTTTTCTTCTGTTGTGTGGATCCCAGAGATCCAGCATAGGGCTTGGTGGCAAGTGTGTTTACCTGCTGAATTATCTTGATGGGCACATTTTGGGGTTGTGTGGGGGATAGGGTCTTGTTATACTCACTATATAGTCTTGGGTAACCTTAAGCTCATAGCAATCCTGCCTCAGTCACCTGAATGCTGGGATTATAGACATGCACCACTATGCCTGACAAGTTTTAGATTCTTTGTGTGTGTGTGTGTGTGTGTGTGTGTGTGTGTGTGTGTGTGTGTGTGTAAGACTTTTGCCTGCACATATGTATGTGTACTATTTGGTCAGAAGATGATGATGGATCCCATGGAATAAATATGGATGGTTCTGAGCTACCATGTGGCAACTGCTCTCAAGTTCTCCAGAAGAGTAGCTCTTACTTACTCAGCCATCTCTCCAGCCCTAACTTTACTGTTTGAATATTTTTTTGTTTATATGTATGTCTGTGAGCTTGCATGAATATATGTACATGGATGAGATAGTATAGGCCAGAGGTTATTGGGTCTCTAGAACTGTAGTTGTAAGTGTTGGTAAGCTGTCATGTGAGTGCTAAGAACCACCATGTCCTCTGAAAGAGCAATAATCACTCTTAAACCCTGGAGCCATCTTTCCAGGCCTAAGTGAACTATTTTTATTTATATACGCATTGGAGACCAGAGAGTACCTTGATACCTAGGTCTTGCATAACCACATTTCTCCTCCATATCTTTAATTTTAAAAATGCTTATTGTGTGCATATATGTGTATTGTGGCAAGTATCTTTACCCATCTAGCCATCTTGCCAGCTGGCTTTTTTTTTTTGTAATATTTTAATTATAGAAAATTTGTAGAGTGATACTTTATTATTATTATTTGTTTTTTGTTTGTTTTTTGAGACAGGGTTCCTCTATAGTTATAGATCTTGCCCTGGAACCCACTCTGTAGACCAGGCTGGCTTTGAACCCACAGAGATCTGCCTCTGCCTCCTAAGTGCTCAGATTAAAGGTGTGTGCCACCACCATTCATTGGGTGATATAATTTTTAAAAATCACCTATCCTGCAATTAAAAAAAAAAAAGAGCAGTATGAAGAATCTTTGCTAATTAGACTATAACTCAGAATGGGATGATGGGAAGATACTAAATTTTAATGAGTACTTTGAGTGTTGATTACTGAAATGGTTATGAAGTATGAATCTCATAAATGGAATTATGAAAGGTTATTTTTAATCTATTGGCCATACTAACTGAATAAAACCTCCAAACAGACATGCATTGGCCAAGGACATGGTATGGAAGTATAGTCTTACTGGTTTTTCTGTTGAGATCTTACCTTCTTCTAGGGGATGAGTTACATTTACTGTCATGAACTTCATTGTAAATAGAAAAATAAGAACTGCTTATGTTAAATTGCAAACCTGTTTTCAAACTTAGCACTTTCTAGGTGACATCAGTAATTTAAGTGGTGATTCTTTGCGGGTGCATGTGTGTATGTGAGTGCAGGTGTGCAAACAAGAGACCTGAAGTCAGTCTTGAGTCTTGTTCCTCAGTAGTCACCCACTGCTGGGGTGGGCCTTTTATACTAACATTTGGGAGGTAGGAATAGGCAGGGCTCTTGAGTTGGAGGCCAGTTTGGTCTACATTAGTGAGTTCTAGGAAAGCTAGGTCTTTTGAAACCTTGTCTTAGCCAGGCAGTTGTGGTGCATGCCTTTAGTCCCACTATTTGGGAGGCAGAGGCAAGTGAACCCATCTGCATCTGCCTTCTTTTTAATTCTTAGAGCATATTTTTCCAAACTTACCCTTGGCACTTTTAAAATGTTCAGGAGTAGTAATGGATTGTGGAATGGGTAGGGGAGTGTGGAGCAAGTGTTTTGCTTTTGGCTAAAGTCTTGCTTTGCTGTCTAGTTTGTTGTGTGTGTACACACACACACACACACACACACACACACACACACACACACACACACACACACACGTAGAGAGATATTTTACATATGAGTGTAGGTACCCTAGGAGGCCAGCAATATCAGATCTCCCTAAATTATAGGGTGGTTGTGAGCCAACATGTAGGTACTCAGGTCTCCATAGCAAATGCTCTAAACTGCTAAGCCATCTCTCTAGCCCCTTGTTTGCAGTTTTTCTGTTTGTTTGTGCGACATGGCCTTATATGAATTTAGGTGGCCTCTAATATGCTTGTAGACCAGACTGGTCTAGAATTTACTGTATAACTTCATCTGACCTTGAACTCTGTGGAGTTCCTCCTGCTTCATAGCATGAGCTCTGGGATTTCTTTTTTCTTTTAAGATTTTTAAAAAAAATCTATTTTATGTATATGAGTGCTCTATTTGTATGTACTCCTTTATTTCAGAAAGGCATTAATTAGATCCTGACTATAGATGGTTGTGAGTCACCATTTGGTTGCTGGGAATTGAACTCAGGACTTCTGGAAGAGCAGCCTAACAGCTGAGCTATCTTTCCAGCCCCCAAACTCTGGGACTCCCCCGACCCCAAGAGATACTTTAGGGGCTGGTCAGTGGTGGTGATTGCCTTTAATCCCATCACTTGGGAGGCAGAGGCAGGCAGATCTCAGGGAGTTCAAGGCCAGGTCTATAAAGTGAGTTCCAAAGCCTCTCTCCAAAAAAAAATGACACTGTAGATATAGTGGCCCATACCTTCAGTAGTTTAAAACAGGGATATGCTAGTCCAGTTTGCATACGAAAGTAAAAAACATACAACTAGAGAGGCAGAGGTACATGGATCTCTGTGGGTTTCTCTATCCTGAGTTCCAGAACAGAGTTATCTAGGGAGACCCTGTGCCAACCAAAACAAAGAAACAAAACAAAACAAAACAAAAAAAAAAAAAAAAAAAGAAAGAAAGAAAGGCAGGCACTGTGTAGTTAGTGCCTGACTGGACTGAATTTTGAAGGTAAATTCATTTGCCTCTCTGCTTTGATTAAAAGCATGTGCCAACAAGCTAGGTGAGAAATGTTTACATTGTATCTACAGGTTAATTTAAATTTCATCATCAGAAAATTCAAGTTTGTAAAATTCGGGTAGGAGTCAATTGTTTCTGTGTCAGTTCTCCCACCTCCCCCAAATTTCTCTGTTTCCCTTGCTGTCCTGGAACTTGTTCTGTAGACCAAGCTGGCCTTGAACTCAAAGAGAACTGTCTTTGCCTCCCAAGTGCTAGAATTAAAGGCTTGTACCGCCACTGCTTGGCCAAGTCAGCTGTTTCTTATACACAAGAATTAAGGCAACCTAAGTCATCACATATGAATAAGGAGTCATGAACTATAGATATGAACAAAATGTATACATCAGTATTTCCTGGTAATTATTTTGTCATATAATATCTCCTTCATTATATCAGGCTCTCTCCATATTTGGCACATTTAGTGCCTTATAATAAAAGCTGTAGTGTTTTTTTTTTGTTGTTGTTGTTTTGTTTTGGTTTGGTTTTTTTCTTCGAGACAGGGTTTCTCTGTATTATTTTGGAGCCTGTCTTGGAATTAACTCTGTAGACCAGGCTGGCCTTGAACTCACAGAGTTCCTCGTACCTTTGCCTCCCAAGTGCTGGGGCTAAAGATGTGTGCCACCAATGCCCGGCTGCTGTAGTGTTTGTTAAACATTAGATTTTTAGTGGGTCCTCATTATATTTTCAAGGTTTTTAATATATTTACTGAAGCAAGATTTTGACCTCTTAGATTGTTGTGGTCTGAACTGATAGTGTATGTCCTATTAAAGACTCATTTCTTATAAACTTCCTTAAAATAGAATCTTCTTATAGAATGTCTCTCTTTGTAGTTCTGCCTGCCCTAGAATTCCCTTTGTAGACCAGGCTGGCCTTAAACTGATAGAGATCATCCTGCATCTGCCTCTTTGAGTATTGGGATTAAAGGTGTATGCCAACAGGCCTAGTAGAATGTAAATCTTTGAGGAAAAACCCTAAATGTCAAACATAGACTTAAGTGATAATTCTGAGACAATTCAGATACTTTGAGTTTTCTTCTTTTCTAGTAAACAGAACTAAAAAAAGTATTAATTCTTCAAGGATTGAGATTTACAAAGAATATTTTACAGTATTGTGTAATTATAGTTTTCCTTCTTTAGATATTTAAAAATTAGATAAAATTTAAAATATTCCATTCTGTTTCAGTCTTTTTTTTTTTTTTTTTTGGTCTTTTGAGACACGGTGTCTCTGTAACAGCCCCCTGGCTGTCTTGGAACTAGCTTTGTAGACCAGGCTGGCCAGCCCTGAATTCACAGAGATCCACCTGCCCCCTGCCTCCCAAATGCTGGGACTAAAGGTGTATACCACCAACGCCACCAACCACCTTTACCACCTCCACCATCTCTGGGCTCACATTGTACTTTTAGAATGCGTTCCCCATAGTTAGTGTGAATTCCCACCAAAGAATTGCCTGTTTTATAAATGTAAGTTCAATTGCTGCCTGTAGGAAGCCTTTCCATTTATGATGATGTTTACAGCACAAAATCCATTTGTTGATTAAAATATTTTTTTTAATGTTTTTTTGGGGTGGGGGGGCTAGAGAGCTTAGTGGTTAAGAGCACTTATTCTTGGGCTGGAGAGATGGCTCAAAGGTTAAGATGAATGCTTTTCCAAAGGTCCTGAGTTAAATTCCCAGCAACTACATGGTGGTTCACAACCATCTGTGATGAGATCTGGTGCCTTCTTCTGGCCTCTAGGGATACATGCAGGCAGAACACTATATACATAATAAATAAATCTTACAAAAAAAAAAAAAAGAGCACTTGTTCTTATGAAGGATCTGGGTTCAATTCCTAGCACTCATATGGAGGCCCACCACTTCCTCATGTACCAGGCATACATGTGGTACAAAGATAAATGTGCATGCAAAGCACTCAGGTGAATAAATTTAACAGAAATGTGGGGGTGTGGGGCTGAAGAAATTGATTAGTAATTGGAGATAGTTACTGCTCTTTCAGAGAATCCAATTTCAGTCCCTAGCGCCCATGTCCAGTAAATCACAACCCCTTGTAACTCCAGCTTAGGGGAATCTGACACTTGGTCTGCTTGAGTACATAGTTTCACATGCACATACCCACATGCATACATAGGTATGTGTGAGCACAGGCACACTTGTGTGCACACTCACACACATGTACATATATGCACATACACAGTTTTAAAATATATTTTAAAATTTGGATTTATCAGGCTTTATAGCACATACCTATAATCCTAGTACACAGGAAGGTAAGGTAAGAGGATGATTGGTGGGAGTTCAGGGCCAGCCAGAAATTCTTAGAGACACTATTTCTCAAAAAAAGCAAAAAAAAAAATCTAAAATTTGACAACTTTTCTGATTTCTACAATCAGAAAAGTCTTTATTTGTTTCCATACTAATTACTTTGATTTGCTTGTTATGTGAGTCCTGTCATGTCCTTAGTAAGTCTGAAATTGCTGTTTGAACTTTTTTACCTTAGTCTGAGAGTTCTTACGTTGTGTGGTCAAAGATCATCCAGCTCTGACCACTAGACAGGCCTATGAGGGGTTATGGTTATTATGTTAATTGAGGTGGGAAGGCCCACTCACTGTGGGTGGCACTGGACTGTATGAAAAGGAAGAAGTAGGCTGAACACAAACATTAATTTTTTTCTTTTAAAATTTATTTTCAACTTCATTATTAAAAAAAATATTGCAGGGGCTGTGAGATGGCTCAGCAGTTAAGAGCACTGGTTGCCTTTCCAGAGGACCCAGGTCTGATTCCCCACATCCACATGGTGGCTCACAACATCTGTAACTCTAGACCCAGGGGATCTGGCACCCTTTTCTGACTTCTATGGACACCAGGCACATGCATGGTGCATGGTGCACAGACATCTATTCAGGCAAACACACATAAAATTAAAAAAAAAAAAAAAAAGAATCTCTAAATAAAAAGGAATTTGGTTCACGTAATTTATCCTTTTATATACATACTTTTCTTGTGAGGGGGTTTTCTTGTTTTTAGCTTTTGTTTTTTTTTTTTGTTTGTTCGAGACAGGGTTTCTCTGTATTGCTTTGGAGGCTATCCTGGAAAACTAGCTCTGTGGATCAGGCTGGCCTCAAAATCACAGAGATCTTCCTGCCTCTGCCTCCGAGTGCTGGGACTAAAGTCGTGTATCACCAGCATCTTGTAATACATACATATTTAAATGCATAAAAATGTTTTTAAAAACAGAAAAAAAATTATTGAAGTTTATTCCCAACAACTAAAGTACTTACATATATTTTCAGTAGTTTTGATATCAAATTAACTGTAAAACTCTTTCATTTATTATTTCCTTGTCCTAAGTTCTTTTTAAGTCTTTAGTAATCAAGTAGTGTTAATTTGTTGGCCTCTTTCATTTAAAAATTATCTTTTGTTAAAGAATAAGTTTCATGAATTGTATGAGCTTCAGTTTTATGTTGTGACTTTTAGAACTTGCTTTGTACATTTTATTTCAGGGGTGCCATAGGGTTTTTGTATTGTTTTAAATATTGAAATGGGATTAAATATAGCTTCTGGCCTCAACTTGCTATGTAAGTTTAAGTTGGGCAGTTGTGGCACACACCTTTAATCCCAGTGCTTACGAGGCAGAGGCAGAGGCAGGCAGACAGACCTCTGAGAGTTCGAGGCCAGTCAGATGTACAGAGAGAGTTCCAGGACAGCCAGGGTGGTTAAACAAAGACACCCTGTCTTTAAAAACCAAAAAGGGGGGGACCCAAAAAAACCCAAAATAACTCCCCCCTCCGAAAAAAACAACTTGATATGTAGTTCAGGCTGGCCTTTTTTAATTTTAATATCTGATTCTCCTGCCTATACTTCACCAAATATAGATCCTTCCTTCTCCTACCAGGTATTGGGTATTTAACTCAGGGTCTGGCACCTGTTATGGGCTGGAGAGATAGATGGCTTAGAAGTTTAGGGCTTTGGCTGCTCCTCCAGTAGACCTGGGTTCAATTCTTAACACCCACATGGCTGTTTACATTCCATCTGTAGCAACAGTTCCAAGGTATCTGATGCCCTCTTTTGGCCTCTATAATCATTGTATGCATGTAGTACATAGGCACAAATATAAAAAATAAATAATAAGTGAGTTCAAAACCAACCTGGTCTATAGAGCTAGTTCCAGGACAGCTAGGACTGTTACACAGAGAAACATGTCTTGAAAAAGAAAACAACAACAACAAAATATTTAATAAAATAGATCTCAAATATTACTATATTAAGCGTATTCCTCCAATATTTTCACACATTAGAAAATAGTAATATTCACGATGCTTAAAGGAATGTTAATATTTCATAAAATGAAAATACCAAATCATGCTCTGTAATAAATTGGTTATATTAATCAGGAGTAAATAATATACTTCAATAAATTCTAACTTTTTAGTTGAGACAGGGTTTCTCTGTGTAACCCTGGTTTTCCTGGAACTAGCTCTGTAGACCAGGCTGGCCTTCAACACACAAAGATCTGCATGCCTCTGCCTCCCAAGTGCTGAGATTGAAGACCACCATCGCCTGGCAACTTTTTAGTCTATTTATTTTTAAAGATTATTGTTATGGATATGAATGTTTTGCCTACATTTATGTATGTGCACATGTGTGTGTGTGTCTGGCTTCCACAGAAGTCAAAAGAGGTCATGGTATTTCTTGGGACTGGCATTGCAGACAGTTGTAAGCTGTATATGGGTTCTAGGAATTAAACCATAATCCTCTAAAAGAGCCACAGAGCTCTTAGCCACTGAGTCATCTGTCTAACTCCCAGAAGTAAAATCTTAGTCTTTTTAATAGGTGAACATTATAATGTTCTTTTGACACTTTATTTGCCTAGTCTAAGTAAAAGTTTTATCCTCTCATCTCTATTTAGTCCAAAAGAAATGCTTCCTTCAAAGCCTGCAAAGAAAGAGAAGGAACAGAGGACCCGCCACTTACTCACAGACTTGCCTCTTCCTCCTGAGCTACCAGGTGGAGATCCATCTCCCCCGGATTCTCCAGAGCCAAAGGCAATTACACCACCTCAACAACCGTATAAAAAGAGGCCCAAGTAAGTTTTTTAGGGATGTATAATTTTTATATTTTATGTATATGAATGTGTTTTCTTTATGTGTGTCTGTGCTTTAAATACATTCCTTTTACCCCAGGAGTCCAAAAGAGGGTCCTTAATCTCCTGGGATTGCAGTTACAGTCAGTTGTAAATCATCACATAGGTTCTGGGAATTCAACTCTATCCATGACTCTTAACTGCAGAGCCATCTCACTAGTAGTGTGTGTCCCCTCCCACCCCCCAAGTCAGAGTTTCTTTGTGAAATAGTTCTGGTTGTTCTAGAACTCACTCTCTAGACTAGGCTGGCCTCTAATTCTTAGAGATATGCCTTCGACTGCCTTCCGAGTGCTTTGATTAAAGGTATGTATCACCACTGCCTAGCTTAGGGATCTCTTTTTATTAAAGTGTATACTCTTATAGCTTCCACAACTCATAGAAGTGAGAGCCAACAAATACATCTTTTATTTCAGTTTTATGGGAAAACAGTGCTTATCCTCCAGATAACTATCTTAGTTACTGTTTTGTTGCTGTGAAGAGTTACTCTGGCTGATATAGCTCTTATGAAAGAAACCATTTATTGTGTGGCAATGCAATTTCAGATGTTTAATCCATTACCAAGGTTGGTAGCATGGTAGCATGTAAGCACCATTCTGAGAGCTACATCCTGATCCATAAGCACATAGTGGGAGCAACACTGGGCCTGGCTTGGAGTTTTGAAACCTGAAAGCCTATCTCCAGTATATACTTCTTTCAGTAAGACCACACCTCCTAATCTTTCTAATTCCTATCAAAGAACTCCTCTTCCTGATGACTAAGCATTCAAGTACAAGAGCCTATGGGAGCCATTCTTATTCAAACTACCAAGCATAATACATAGCTAACATTTTTATTGAGACAGGATATTACTGTGTGTCCCTGACTGACCTGTAACTCACAAAGATTGTATGCCTTTAATCTCAGCACTTGGGAGGTAGAGGTGTTTTGATCTCTTTTTGAGTTTAAGTCCAGCTTGGTCTAAAATGAGTTCCCAGACAGCCAGAGACCTAGCTACCTAGTGATACTGTGCCTGGAGCAAAAAAAGAAGAAGAAGAAAATAAAAGATACCACCATGCCATCCCTAAACACATTCATTCATTCATTCATTTTTTGGTTTTGGTTTTTGAGACAGGGTTTCTCTGTGGCTTTGGAGCCTGTCTTTGGAACTAGCTCTTGTGGATGAAGCTGGTCTTGAACTCCCATAGATCTGCCTGCCTCTGCCTCCCGAGTGCTAGGACTAATGTGCCACCAACACCTGACTACATTTTTTTTTAAAGTGATTAATGAATTTAGTGAAATTCATATATCCTACTACCACTTTGTATCTTTTGAAGCCAGAATTCCATTATAACCATTGATGCTTTATTATTTCTGCCATTTCAGTAAAATTTTATGAGAAGCCAGTCATTTCATGGCAAAAAGTAACAGTTTTTATTGGTTTTCTTTTTAGAATTTGTTGTCCTCGTTATGGAGAAAGAAGACAAACAGAAAGTGATTGGGGGAAACGATGTGTGGATAAGTTTGACATTATTGGAATTATTGGAGAAGGAACCTATGGCCAAGTATATAAAGCTAAGGACAAAGACACAGGTACAATTATTAATATTTTAAATAGATTTAATAAAATAAATTTTAGGCTCCAATTTGTTCTCTTAATTATTAAGTAGATTAAAATGTTCCAAAAGAAGAGCTTGGTCTGTTCCAGAACCTCCCTGTATCAAGTCCTTTACATAAAATAGCATAATATTTGCATGTAACCTCTACCCATCCTCCTGTGTCATTTAAATTATCTCTAGAATATTTATGGTATGAATAAAAACAAATTATGAATAAACATTGTTATCATTCAAGGATTAATGACAAAGAAAATGATGTCTGAACAGTTCAGAAAGTATCTCTTACCACTGGAAAATGTTTTTAGTCTACAGTTTGAGTCTATGAATGATGTGCAAGATACAGAGAGCTGAGTGCATGATAATGTTATAGTAAAGCCTTTTTTGGGCTAGGAATATAATTCATTGTTGAGTGTTTTGAGTACATTTGTGAGCACTATATTGATTTTCAGCACTATAAGCTAAAAAGCTTTATTTTGCTACTTTTGTTGTCTGTTTTGAGTATTGTTTTGACTTGGTGAAGTATTTTGTTTTTGTTTTGTATTATGCTTTGGTGCTAGGATTTGAACCTAGGGTTTGCACAAGCAGGTTATCAAAAAGGCTGCATTCTCTGTGTGGGGTGTGTGTGGGGTGTGTGTGTGTGTGTGTGTTATAAACTTTTGTTTGTTGGAAAGTTTTGTATGCTATTTTGTGGGGGGTGGTATTATATTTTACTTATTAATGATTATACATGTCTGTTTGTGTCTTTGGGGCATATTTGTGCCATGGTACACATTGGGCAGACAGAGGACAACTTGTAGGTAGTCTGTTTTCTTCTTCTACCATGTGAGATCAGTAGGGAGGCAGAGGTAGAGACGGCTCAGGCTACTTGCAAGATCCTGTATCAGAAATGAGAAAGGGGGTTAGGAAAAGAACAGCATGAATCAGTTTGAAGACTGGGGAACATAGGAATAGGGCTGGTTGTGGAGCCAAATGATAGAAGGCATATTTTCTTAGGTTCTAAATTCAATCTCAGCCCCCTAAAAAAAAGAAGGGAAATGTAAAGGTTTTATGTAAAAAACACAAAAATGCTCAAGTCTGTGAAGGTAAGAATGTGTAATGCTGGTTCATGATGATGGCTAAGACCTGCGAGTTGTTTATAGTGACAGTTTGCATATGTTTTTGCAGGAGAACTAGTAGCTCTGAAGAAGGTTCGGCTAGACAATGAGAAAGAGGGTTTCCCAATCACAGCTATCCGGGAGATTAAAATTCTTCGTCAATTAGTCCATCGAAGTGTTGTTAACATGAAGGAAATTGTCACAGACAAACAAGATGCACTGGATTTCAAGAAAGACAAAGGTAATAGCAGAAATTTCAAATTCTTTAATTTCATGTGTTTTATATGCAAGCACATGTATGCCTGCAAAAACAATAAGTGCTCTAACTATGGCGCTATCTGTCCATTTTCATTTATATGAATTTTTTGTGGGGGGGCAGGGGTTGGGGTGGATAGGGTCTCTACATAGTACTGACCATTCTGTAATTCACTAGACCAGGCTGCCTGGTATCAAACTCAGAGATCTGCCTGCCTCTACCTCCTGAGTTCTGGGATCAAAGAGGCATATGCCACCATGCCATCATTTATTCATGTTTGAGACAGTTTCCTTATAGCCTTGGCTCCTCTGGAAATCTCTGTGTGTACCAGGCTGTTCTCAAACTTGAACTCAGAGCCTGCCTCTGATTCCCAGTTGTGTTTTTATGTGTATAACCGTTTTTTGTCTGTATGGAGGCCTGAAGAGACACTAGATGTTCTGAACAGGATTTACCAATAATTGTAAGCAGCCATTTGGGTTCTGGGAATTAAACAAAGATACAATACAAGAGCTACAGTTCTTCTTATTTACTGAACCATACAGCTTCTGTTTTTGTTTTTGTCTTTTTTTGTTGGGGGGCGGGTAGGAGGGTGAATTGGTTTTTGGGGTTTTTGTGTGTGTGTGTGTGTGTGTGTGTGTGTTTGAGACAGAGTTTCTCTGTGTATTTTCTTCTATAAACCAGGCTGACCTTGAACTCATAGATTTGCCTGCCTCTGCCTCCCTAGTGCTGCAACCACAGCCTGGCTTCTGTTTTTATATTTATTTTTTTTTACTTTTTATATTTATTTACTTTTACAGAAAAGGTCTCTATCTATCTATCTACCTACCTACCTACCTACCTACTTACCTACCTATCTACCTACCTACCTATCTATCTATCTTTCTCTCTTATGTCCTGTCTGGACTGTTCTGGAACTTGCTATGTAGACCAGGCTGGATCTCCTGGAGCTGGAGTTGCAGGTGGTTGTAAGCCACCCATTTTGGTTGCTGGGAACCAAACTTAGGTCCTCTGCAAGAGGACATGAAATCCCAGTACCAGGAAAGCAGACAGGCTAATCATTGGGACTTGCTGGTCAATCATCCCATTGACCTTGGTAAGTTAAGTAAGAGACACTGTCCCGTCCCGTGTCGTTCTCCCCCCCCCCCCCAGAAAAGAGGGCTGTCCAGATGGCTCAGTAGGTAGAGGTGCTTTCTTTCAGGATTGACAGCTAGATCCCACAGATGACATTAGAGCCTACTCCTAGTTTTCTTCTGGCCTCTTCCTCCCAAGTGCTGAGATTAAAGGCCTGTACCACCTTGCTAACATTGTACTTTTAGAATGCATTCCCCATAGTCAGTGATGGGATTTTATATCCTTTTGTTAGTTTAATTTTGATACATATGCTCACCCTGTAGCTATTGTCACACTTCCTGTCTCAATTTCTTGAGTGTTGAGAATTGCAAGTGTGTGCTAGCATGCCTGGTTTATACATCCTTTTAAAAACTGTTTTCTAGGGACAGGAGGGTGAATACTTGTCTTGTAGAGGATGTGAGATCAGGCATTTTACAACCACCACTAACTCCAGCTCCAGGGTAATCTTGACACCCTTTTTCTGCCCTCAAGTTACACTTTTAATCAGTTGATAGAGCTCAACAACTAAGCCATCTCCATCTCGATAGCTTTTTCTAAGAAAAATCACAGGTGTTTGTGAGTGGTAATTTGGATCTTGGATCTGAATTCTTATTGGTTCTCTGGTGAAGCCACTAATGCTCTGAGCTATCTCTCCATCCTGTATCTGATTTACTTATATTACCAGGTCTTATCTTAATCTTCTCCAAAGTACTCCTTAATGCCATCTTTCTTTAGTGGAAATGTGAACTATTTGAAAATTTTAGGGAAACTGAGAATGTTTGTATCCCCATTTTGTCCTGTCACCCCAGGTCCCCAAAAAAGAAGAAAGGAAAAAAGGATTGTAAAGAGGCTGAGGAGCTGTCTCAGTGGGTAAAGTGCTTGCCATGTAATCATGAGGACCCAATTCCCAAGTAAAAGCTGAGCATATCAGTGCATGTTTCTGATCCTGCACTGTGTAAGGCATAGACAGGTGGATCTCTGTCATTCACTGCCCAGTCTCTGGCCAAAACAGTAAGCTCTAAGTTTAGTGTGAGACCCTGTCTCAAAAAATAAATGCATACCATTTGGGATATGTGAGAGAATTCTTGAAGTCTACCCTCTATATTAAAAATCCCTGCCTTTATACTAGGGTTGTAGCTATGTTATGGAGCACTTGTCTAGTACATTTGAGACACTGTATTACACTTTTTGTTTTTATGCTACTAATGAACAGAATTATAAACCTAGAGGGTTCTGTTTTGTTTTGATAGGGTTTCAAAAAGCCCAGGTTGCTCTATAACTGAGTAGCTATGGACAGGCTTTAATTTCACTAGCACATAAGGTTTATGTGGTAGTAGGAATTGGGCTCAATCCCAGGATTTTGCTAGGCGTGTTGGTGTGTACCTTTAATCTGAGCACTTGGGAGGTATAGGCAATTTTGGGGCCAGCCTGGTCTCTACATATCTACATGGTAGGTTCCATGCTTGATATGGCTGCATTGTAAAACAGCAAACCCAGGGTTGTATACATGCTTGGCAAGCACTCTCCCAAGTGAGCTACATCCTTAGCCCTTACGACTAGTGTTCCATGTTACAGTATTGCTAAAATTCCAAATTCCTTACAACTATTTTTAGTGTGCTTCTTACTACTATTGTCCTTTTCTGAATTTAGAGGCTTTGACTAAATGTTTCATGCTTCCTCATTATTTTTGTATAGTGTATGTGTGCTATTGCACACATATAAAGTTCAGATGACAGATTTTCAGGAGTTGGTACTCTTCTTCCACAATGTGCTCTGGGGATCAAACTCAGGTTTTGTGAGGGTTGCATAGCAAATATTTTTATAAAACATTGAACCATCTTGACATCATTTTTAAATTATTTTTACTTAAATTTTTTTCACATTTATCCTTTTGTTTTAAAGCCTGAGTTTATAGCATGTGTGTTGGGATATTATTTTAAGGTGTGTGACTTTTCTTTATACTGCATTTAACTCTGTGAAACTGTTACTGTGCCTAATACACCTAATGGTCTAATAAAGAGCTGAATGGTTAATAGCAAGGCAGGAGCAAGTCTAGGCAGGGACTGCCAGGTAAACAGTATAAAGGCCAGGCAATCATAACCAAGAATAAGCCTCCATGTATTTATTTGGGAGCTGGCTGGTGGACCCCTCAAAAGAGAAAAAATGTCATTACAATGCACGTCTCCATTGAGATCAGAAGAGGTCAGATCTTCTGGAGCTGCAATTATAGGCAATTGTGAATTGTGCTCAGGAGTCAGAGGCTGCCATATCTCTGTGAGGCTATCCTGGTCTGCATGTTCCAGGCCAACCAAGGCTACATAGTAAGACCCTGTCTCAAAAAAGGGAGTTGAGAGCAGAGCTAGAGAAGACGACTCAAAGAACCCTCATTTGCTTACAAGACTCACCTGTCCGTTTACAACCATTTGTAACTCCAGTCCCAGTGGACTCAGTACCATCTTCTGACCTTTATAGGCAGCAGGCATGGCACAAAACTCTTCTCTTCTCTCCTTCCTTCCTTCCTTTTTTAAGATTTACTTATTTATGAATACAGTATTTTTCTGCATGCATGCTGGAAGAGGGCATCTGATCTCATTATCGATGGTTGTAAGCTTCCATGTGGTTGTTGGGAATTGGACTCAGGATCTCTGGAAGAACAGGGAGTGCTTTTAACATGACAAAACACTCATATATAAAATGAAATAATGTTTTTTTAAAAAGTCCCAATTTATAACAAATGGACATGGTTGTCTTACCCAAAATAAAACAAGAAATAAGAACCAGCTGATTAGATTTGGCCCAGAGTCTGTAATTGTCAGTAGACTTCAATCATAGAGTATAGTGATACAAATTAATAGTGGCAGTTCTCTCAAAATGTATATAGTCCACATACAGGTAGTTTGGGAATCGAAATTTATTGATTTATTACTTACTATAAATTATAAATAAATGAGCAAATGATTATTTTAATAGTGTTATTTATTCTTAAAAAGGGCAAGTTATTTTATTAGTCTAATTAGGTCTATAAAATTAAGCAGTTGTTCCAGAGAGACTATGGTTATCTTTAGTTATATTCAAATCTTAAGATTGTTATTTCAACATTTAAAAAGTATTTTCTTCATGTTATGTAGGTGCCTTCTACCTTGTATTTGAATATATGGACCATGACTTAATGGGACTGCTAGAATCAGGTTTGGTGCACTTCTCTGAGGACCATATCAAGTCATTCATGAAACAACTAATGGAAGGATTGGATTACTGTCACAAAAAGAATTTCCTCCATCGGGATATTAAATGTTCTAACATTTTGCTGAATAACAGGTAACATAGTAACCGGATAAGGCTAATCACTTTTTTCCTTTCTTTTGGATTTTGTCTAGATAATTAGGCTTATAAGCAGTGCAATTTTTGTCTTATCATACGGGTTGAATGTGTTCTTTTGTCTCTTTACCTCTCCCATCATCTTTCCTGATTTAATATTAGAATTAATAAAATAGGATTGCAAAATTTTTTACTTACTAACATTCTAGGATATTGATATACTAAAGCGGATACTATATAGCCAGTAAATAGTGGTGTTATCCAGGGAGAAGTTAAATATACACTGGGTTAGTTCTTAATATTCTTTAGTGGAAAGAAAAATTCCTACTTCTTCAGTTGCACTTGAGACTTTGTCAAAGACCTTTCCTCAGCATGTGTGTGAATACATGCAGGCATACATGCACTCACACACTGAAGCACACACAGTGGTTGTGGTAGGAGGTAGAATAAGCTGTGTATGATTACTGAGATTTACCAAATGTTAACACTAAGTTTAGTAGTAGGGCTAAGCAGTTTATTACTTTTTCAATTCAGTAAGCAATTTTTGGGTGTTACTTGTTTTAGAGTCTCATTATGTAGCTCATATGGCTTTGAACTATGATTCTCTTTCTCAGCCTCTCAAGTACTGGGATTAAAGGCATATACCAACACAGCAGGTCATGTTTGTTTAATGTAGAATCACCTGGAAAGATGCAACTTTGAGGATTAAATAGGAATTTATGAGAAAGACTGACAATGGAAATTCAAAATCTCTTGACACTGATTATATGAAAGCACATAAACATGAAAGAGAACATTCCTGTAATACCAGTACTTTAGAAGCTAAGAGAAAAAGGATCAAGAGTTTGAAAGTAAGAGTGGGACTATATCTCATTTGGTAGAGTACTTGCCAGTATGCACTGAGACCTGGGTTTGATTTATAGCAACATGTAGCACTTTCATGGCCAGCCTGAAACTATGTATGACTCTCTCAAAAAGAAAAAAGGTAAATAGTGTATTATGTCTAAAAAACTGTAAACATAACATTATTACTAGAACAAGAAGTAAAGCAGTTACAGTGAAAAATGAAGCTGAATTGTTACTAGCAACCAGTTTACAATCATGTATATCCTAGTAAGGAGGTTACTTTAATCTACAGTTCAAGGTGGGAGGGTATTCAATGTATCTGTGTAAATTGCTACTTAAAATTACACTTTAATGTGTTTATTGTGAGGCAAACATAATATATAAAGATTAACTCATAAACTGGAACTATAAGTAGTACATTCTTATAATCCCATTGCCTAGGGAAGTAAAAGTGGGAGAGCCAGGAAGTTTGATGGGTTTTTTGTTTGTTTCCATTCTCTTGCTATCTCTGCAACTCAAAAAAAAAAAAAAATCTGCTAAGCCTATATTCATAATTCATAGTTCATCTGTAGTTTCAGATAGTTGGAAGGCTAGAGCAGGAGAAGAGTGCATTCAAGTTTTCCCAGTTAACTGTTAAGGTGCATGCCTTTAATCTCAACACTTGGGAGACAGAGATGAATAGATCTCTGTGAATTCAAAAGGAGCCTAATCTACATAGTTCCAGGACAGCCAGAGCTAAATAACTCTGTCTAAAATAAAAAAGGTTCTATCTAAAGATAAGTGTGCTGGTAAACACCTTTAATCCCAGCCCTTGGAGGCAGAGGCAGATTTTATCTTTAGGAGTTCGAGGTCATCCTGGTCTACATAGTGAGTTCCAGGCCCCCAGGAATACATAATAAAACCCTCTATGAAAAACCAATTAAGGGCTGGAGAGATGGCTCAGAGGTTAAGAGCACTGGTTACTCTTCCAAAGGTCCTGAGTTCAATTCCCAGCTCACAGCCATCTGTAATCCGGTCTGGTGCCCTCTTCTGGTGTTGAAACAGACATGTAAGCAGAGCATTGTAAACACAATAAATAAATCTTTAAAAAAAAAAAAAAAAAAAAAAAACACCAATTAAAATAAAAAAAAAAAAAAATCCTGGACCTCACTCTGTAGACCAGGCTGGTCTTGAAACTCAGAGGTCTGCTTGCCTCTGCCTTTGCCACTAGCTACTGGGTCTAGGATTAAAGGCATGTACCACCACCATTACCTGGCTGAAAAAACAATTTTTAATGAGGGTAAAGTAGGATTATAGCTGGTGCTTTGCCTGTAGCTTAGTTGTGTAGTATAAACCTAAACTCAGTTTCCAGTTCTACAAAGAAAAATTTTATTAGAGCTGTCAACTTGAGGCTTTTTTGGCAGTTAGTATTATATTTTCTTCTGTTGACATAATTTCTTCATGGGCAAGGATATCTTAGAGAAAGTAATTATAGTTCTGTTTTATATCTTTTTTAGTGGGATTCCCCTTCCTAGTTACTGATTTCCCAGAGTCATACAGAATGAAATTTCACACGAAGTTGAACTTTGTCATGGTTACTAGTTAAGATGCCACAAGCCAATTTGATCCATCAAGTTTCTATTCCTACTCACTTAGCTCTGTCTACTCAGAGGTCTTTTCTCGCCCTCTCTTCAGGATAAGATGTTGGTTTTCACATTTTTATTGGCTGCCATAGTAGACAGAGCCTCTTCCATCAGTAGAAGTACTCATTGATCATTTAACAATTCCAGGCTTAGCCCTGAGAGGTCCATGATTGGGCATATTCTATTTATTAACACAAGCACTAATTAGTTGTAGGGTGTGACCTGGTTGATTGTAGTGGCATACTTGGTGCAAGGGGCTCAGTGGGACCATAATTATAGTGAGGCGTCCAAGGTGATGTATACTACCAGCACTGGCTTCTTTGTTCAGGCATTCTTGAGGTAGGTGGAGAGTCTCCTGCCCATATTGGTCTCCAGAGTGGAATGAGATTGAGATTGCCAGGATAAAATGTGAAAGCTTGTCATCAGTAAGAGAAAGAACCATTTACAAAAGAAGGAGAAGAGCTAGGTTGAGTTCCATTATATATTTGTTATACGAGTATTGAAGACCAGTTGTTCATGTTTTTTTTTTTCCCCCTTATTTTTTTAAACAAGTGTCTCACTCTGTAGCCTAGCGTGTATGACTCAGAGATTTGCTTGCCTCTCTCTGCTTCCTGAGTGCTGGGATCAAAGGCATATGCTACCACTGCCCGGCTTAAACTTGTCTTAAAATCAAAATTAAAAAAAAAAAAAAAGAATGAGATAAGGTCATGCTTAAGTGTAGGAGTTGGAGACCAAGCTTGGTAATGTATGCTGACTCTATGGTAGAAATGAAAATGAAAAGTTAGAAATCAAATCCAAAAATGCAATAATAGCTTTTGTGTGCATATGTACATACATATATTCTTTTTTTTTCTTCCCCACCCCATACATATATATTCTTTAGGAGGCATTGTAAACTATGTAAGGAGAGGAAATGGGGGTAACCATTAGAAGTACCAAGCATTAAAAATCATTTTTATAATTCTTTTAGGTCTTTAATTGGCGCTTAAGTTTTCAAGTGTAGTTTGAGAACTGCTACTTTTACTTATGAAAATAATTGTTTCTTTTACAGTGGGCAAATCAAACTTGCAGATTTTGGACTTGCTCGGCTCTATAACTCTGAAGAAAGGTGAGATATTCATCAAAACTACATATGGGAAGGTTTACTTGTTCCCCATGATTCAAGGTCAGCTTTGGCATGGCAAGAATATTATCTCAAAAAAAAAAAAAAAAAAAAAAAAAAGTAGTTTTACTCAGTTTTGAGTGTGGGAATTAGAGAGGTAGAGAAGAATACTTTTAATTTTCTGATTCCTTCAAATTCTAAAAATTATAATGTATTTGAATGTGTTACCACCTAGATATTTTTTTGTTTGCTTGTTTTTGAGATAGGGTTTGTCTATGTTGCACTCACTATCCTAGAACTCAGTTGGCTGGCCTTGAACTCAAAGAAATACACCTGCAGAGTGATGGAATTAAAGTCGTGAGCCACTGTGCCCAGCATTCTTTTCTTTGTTTTGTTTTAGTGTTTTGAGACAGTCTGTCGGTGTAGCCTTGACTGTCCTGGAGTTTTCTTTTTTTGTTTTTGTTTTTTTGAGGCAGGTTTTTCTGCATTGCTTTGAAGCCTGTCCTGGAACTAGCTCTGTAGACCAGGCTGGCCTAGAACTCACAGAAATCCACCTGTCTCTGCCTCCTGAGCACTGGGACTAAAGACATGCACCACCAACAAACACCCGGCATCTGGAGTTTTCTCTTTAGACCAGGCTAGCCTCAGAAATCTGTCTGACTCTGCCTCACAATGGAATTAAATGCATGTGCCACCTGGCTCATTCATTTTTTGTTTTTTTAAAGACTGTTTTTGTTAATCTTATGTCTGTGTGCTACTTTCACATACTTAACTGAAGAGATAATCAGATCCCCCTGAAATTGGAAGCTATGTTTGTCTTTTCTATTTGTATATATGTTTATATCCTAGTGTCTTCCACGTGTGTGGATGTTGGCATTAAAGACATGCAGCACCTAGATGTTAGACACTATTTGAATTCTTCAATCAGCCTTTCATTGGAGTTAACACAAGTTAGACTAGCTTTCTTCATCTTTCACTTCTGTCCAGCTTCCTTTTGGCCTGTTCCTTTGCGGTTGGAAGTGTTTTTAACAATCTCATCTTCTGTTGTTAGCTATTTCCATTTGTGTTTAGTTACATATTTTCCATCAAAAGTCATTGTACATTTACGACATGTTGATTTTACCTTCCAGTCGTCCTTATACAAACAAAGTCATTACTCTGTGGTATCGACCTCCAGAACTGCTGCTAGGAGAGGAAAGATACACACCAGCTATTGATGTTTGGAGCTGTGGGTAAGCTTCTTTTACCTTTTGCTTTGTCTGTAACTCACATGATATTAGCATATACTTTTTCATCTCAATATTAGCCATTTGTCTTTCTTACTAAATATATACACACATACATACATACATAAAAATAAATGGATTTTTTTGTTATTTATTTATTTATTTGTTGTTTTTCAAGACAGGGTTTCTCTGTAGCTTTGCAGGCTGCACTACAACTTGCTCAGTAGACTAGGCTGTCCTCTAAGGCACAAATCTTCCTTCCTCTCCTCCCAACTTCTTATTTTTTAAGAAAAGGAAGCAATTTAGCTATTTGCTCAGTTGCCCAGTCTTTCATGAATCTGGTAATGCTTCTGTCTCAGCCGCCAGTTAGCTGGGATAACAACCATGTATCACCATACCCAGTTTATCTCAAGTCTCTTAATTAACATTCCTTTCTAGCTCTCTTGATTTTCATTTGTTTACTTAACAGTCTCTTTAGAGAAACTAGATTGTTTATCCTTTAGACTTCTAGGTTTTCGTTGTTGTCGTTGTTACAAAAAACAAAAACAAAATGCTAGTAATGGGATATAGGTCAATGACTTCCCTGCCTAGTATGAAATCCTGGGTTTAATCTTTAATATTGCAAAAGGCTAGTTATTTCATTTTGTTTACCAATTATTAAAATAGTGAGATTGTTTTTCTACTGTCCGGCAAAAATAAACAGTGAGAAGACTTGTTAGTTTTTTTTTGTTTTTTTTTTTTTTTTTGGGGGGGGGTTAGATGCATTAGGAACTCATATACTTAGATATTTGATGTGTTTTAGATCATTGTAATAATTGTACCTTTTTTAAAACATAATTTATGTGTGTGAGAGGGAGAGAGAAGAGGAAAAGATAATAGAAGAGAGTGAGAGTAAGATATGCCAAGTTTGTGGGAGTGCTCACATAACCCAGAGTGCTCACATAACCCAGTAAAGGGTGTCAGATCCCCTAAATCTAATGAGACAGTTGTGAGGTGCCCTGACATGGTGCTGGGAACCAAACTCTGGTCCCCTTCTAGAAAAGCAAGTGCTCTTGACATTCTAGCCATCTCTCCAGTATTATTGTACTAATTCTTGTTCAAACTTACTAATCTTTTTCTAGTAGTCTAAATATGATTTGATTCCTTGTTGAGTTTTTTGATACATTGTTAATAATCTTTAATAGTCATCCTTGTTTTCTTGTTCTAACCTATCTATAATCAACCTTTTCTCTTACCCCCTTCTCTTTTCTTCTTTCTTTTTTTATTCAGAATTTCTCTAGCCCTGGCTATGTTGGTTTACTATATAGACTAGTCTAAGTTCATATTTGTGGCACTCTTCCTGTCTCTTCTCCCAAATGCTGAGATTATAAGAGTACACCAACATAGATATTCTGAAAAAAATTTCTTTTAAGATCTCATTTACCCCAGGCTATCATCAAACTCATTGTGTAGCTAAAGAAGTCCTTAAACCCCATAATTCATTTTCACCCAACTGCCAAGTTTTGGGATTGCAGATTATATAAGCCATTCCTGGGGTTGAAAATGAAATTTAAAGGCTACCTTTTTGTATGTTAAGGAGTATGTTTATTCTTTTGAGATGGGGTTTTGTTATTTAGTCCTGTGTGGCTGGGAAGCTGATATATAGTCTAGGTTGACCTTGAACTTACAGGGATCCACCTAACAGCCATCTTCTCTCGTCAGGTGCTTAAAGCCATATACCACCATGCAAGGGGCCTAAATATCTTAAATGACCCTCATTTGTATGTGGTATGGCACTTGGTGTCAACTTTTGTTGGTTATGGTTCCCATGTACATACTTCCTAAAATAGTGTATCATCTTTCCTATTTTTTTCCATTCCCCTATTATAAGTCTTTAAGAGGAGTACTATGGTTTTTATTTTTAAAATTCAACAAGATGGTAGCCTACCTAAATTAAATGATGCTTTAGTTAAGTTTAAATGACTGAAACTGGGTATATATTTGTATTCAAAAGTACTAACCATTTTATTATAGCTAAGCTGGAAGGTTAATCACTCATTAAGATGAATGATAAAGAGCTAGAGGCTGGGAAATCAAGTTCAGAGTAATCCTTGAGGCCAGCCTGGGCTACATGAGAGACCCTATCTCAAAAAACAAAACAAAAGGAAAGCCGAGATGCATGGGGAGAATTTATAGTGGTATTGGTGTATTTTTGTTTTGTTTTCAGTCTGTGCAACCTGCTAGCTTAATAAAGTGTTCATTATGTAATGAAGTCTTTTGCATTAAAGGTCTGAAATCAGAACTCTGAAGCAGAGCCAGTATGGTGGCACATAGCTGTCATTTTAGTGCTTAGGGGTACAGTTCTGGGCAAAAAATAGAAAAATTCATTTAACAAATTATATATGAAGTAATTGACAAGTGGAGGCAGAAGCAGGTGGATCTCTGTGAGAGTGAGTTCCACGACAGGCTTCACTTCAAAGCAATACAGAGAACCCCTGTATCCAAAAAAAAAAAAAAAAAAAAAAAAAAAAAAATGTTCAAGCTCTAGCTCATTGGTGGTGGTAGTGTACACTTTTAATCCCAGAACCTAGGAGTCAGAGGTAGGTGGTGAGTTCATGAGACCAGCCAGATCTACAGAACAAGTTCTGGAACAGCTGAACTACATAGAATAACCCTGACTAGAAACCATCACCACCACTATTACCACCCAAAAATAATTCAAGGTCTTCCTAGGCTTCTCAACAAGTTTGAGAACAGCGTCTCAAATAAATAATCAAACCTTTTTATTCCTTTGCGATTTTCTTTTCTACTGCTCTTCTATTTTACTAGTTTTTTTTTAAAACTATGTTTGGAAGTAAATTTGACAGTTAATATTGGAAACAAACCTTATTTCTACTTTTTCTACCTCTTGACTAAAGTTTGAAAGCATTAGTTACTAATCAAATTAGGGAATACACTAGGAAAGCTAATAAAGCAAATTATAAGTGAAGTAAATTTCTTTAAGGCATTTTTTAAAATGCTAGTAAAAATGGCCTTTAATCCCAGAACTTCAGAGGCAGAGGCAAGTGGTTCTCTCTGATTAAGATGACAGTGGTCTACTTACAAGTTCTAAGCCAGCCAGGTATACATAGTGAAACCCTTTCTCAAAGAAAAGAAAAAACAATAAGAGGAAGAAGGAGAATTAAATGCTGATAGAGGAGCCCATGAAGTTGACTCAGTGATTAATAGCACTTGATGCTTTTACTTAGGAACCCAAGTTTGGTTTTTAGCAACAGTCCATGACTCTAGTCCCAGGGGATCTTGATAACTCTGGTCTCCATGTGCGTGTGCATACATATGTTCCTACCCCCACACACTTAATACATATAATTTAAAGTAAATTTTGAGGGCAGGAGAGATGGCTCAGCAGTTAAGAGCACTTGCTGCTCTTCCTGAGGATGACCATGGATTGTTTTCCAATATATGCAACAGGCCAATACCTGTAATTCTAGCTCAAGGGAGTAAAATTCTTTTAGCCTCCAAGAAACCCACACATAAATAATAAAAAATAAATCATATTTTAAAGTGGGGTAGTATGATCAAAATACATTATATAAAATTCTCAAAGAATTAGTACAAATAATCTGTTTAAATGAAAGTGTATATGGACCTCAGGGCGGTGGTAGAGGCTTGAAATCCTGATATTTTGGAGGTGGAGACTAAAGAATTAGTAGTTTAGGGCCATCCTGGGTTACATGAGACTATACAATGTCCATAAAACCCAACAAAAAGTACACTAATATAATTAGCACCACAATATTAGCATTAAAAACAAAAACCAAAACAAAACTTTGGAAACAGAATCTCTTTATGTATCCCCTGGCTGTCCTGGGACTCATTATGAAGACCAGGCTCGTCTCCAACTCAGAGAGACCCAACATCTCTGCCCCCAACTATTGGGATTAAGGGGGTGCACCACCACCTTCAGAGTATTTTTATTAAGATGTAGGTGAATGTCCAATTTTGAGGTTAACCAGAGAGCTAATTAAGGAAGTTTAAACATTAGTATAGGATGAATGTACAGTCCTTCCAGTTTTATTCTTATACTATTAATGTCCTAGAAATAATAACTCTTTGTTTACTTAAGGATCTTATATTAAACTAATATGATTTTGGGTTTTTTTTTTTGTTTGTTTGTTTTTTTAAAGTCATTTCTTTGCTGTTACACATCCTAGTTTATAACTTGCAGGCTCATGTGACCGTCCCACTGAGGTATCTGAAGTAGTGCCCATATAGGTGTAGGCTGCTATGTTAGGTCCTAGTCTTTCCATGTCAGTCTTTCCTATCTTTTATTATTTTGAATGTGGACCAGGTACTACACAGATCTTGGTTATATATTTTTAGCTAGAATATTTCGTGGCACTGGAGAAATGTCTTAGTGGTTAAGAATACTGTGGCTGCTCTTCCAAAGGATCCTGGTTCAATTCCCAGCACTCACATGGCAGCTCACAACTGTCTAACTCCAAGATCTGATACCCTAACACAGACATACATGAAGGCAAAATTCCCAATGCATGTAAAATAAAGATAAATTATTTATAAAACAAACAAACAATATTCCATAAGCAGTATTAATGTTCCTCACTGGGTATTACACGTGTATTTATATGGACTTTAATTGCCCTTTAGAAATGATAACAGTTTTATGGTCACTTGGTTGCCTTTCTCACTAAAAAGTTGTTTCCCTCTTGTAACTAGTAATTATTTTGTGCAGAGATACCTTGAGACTGTAATTCATTCATTTTGAAAGCTGTTCCTTTTGTTACTGGTGTTTATAGTTTTTTGAGACAGGGCCTGTAACATAGCCCTGACTGTCCTGGAACTCACATGTTGGCCTCAAACTCATAGAGATTTACCTGGAATCAAAGGCATGCTCTACCTGGCTGCTGATGGTGGTTTTGTTTGTTTGTTTTGTTTTAGTGTGTGTTTTACTTATTTATGTGTGGAAATATTTTGTCTGTATGCTTGTATGTATGTTTTCCACTGTATGCCTGGTTCCTGCAGAGCTCAGAAGAAGGTATTAGATCCCCTGGAATTGGAGCTAATTACAGTGAACTACTATACTGGGAATTGAACTCACGTCCTCTTCAAAAAAACAAGATCTTAACCACTGAGATATCTTACTTGCTTTGATGATTTTTTTTTTTTTTTTTTTGTAAAGTTTTGCTTTACTTTATTCTTTTCTATTTTGCTACATGTGTGTATGCATGTGACAATGAGAGAATTTGTGTCTCCTATCTTGCTACAGAATCACTGGGATTATAGGCACATGATCACATTCAGTTTTATGTGGCTTCTGTAGATTCAAACACAGGTCTCCATATTTATTTTACCTGCCAAACCATCTCTCAAGTTCTGAATGTCCATTTCAAAATAATAATAAAGGTATTTAGACAGAATTTCTTTTCAGTCTTGATGAATTGATTTTAGCTGATAATACAATAGGGTTTTTTTTGTATATACTTTGCTAGAGGGGGTTATAATAGTATATATAGTATAGTCCTACAAAGCAAGTTAATGATGAAAAGTTAATAATCTTTCTGCGAAACTGCTAGCCATCCTTGTAAAATTGTCTCTATTTCCTTAGATTACCATGGTGTGGCAAAGATGGAGAACTTCTAACTCCCTTGCTTATAAAGGACTGTTGTCTACGGGCAGCAGAATTTGAGCTGCTGGCATAATCCTTTTATAACATCTGTTTTCACTGTAATAAGTTGTTTTTATCTTTTAAGAAATTGAGACACTGAAGTGTTATGGGCTACTTTACCACACAATATATTGCATGTAACCTAGGATCCTATAAAAGTGTATTGAGACACACTTTAGATAGGCTCAAGGGATTTCTATCTAACCTTTGAATTTTTTTCTCTTTAGATGCATCCTTGGGGAACTGTTCACAAAAAAACCTATTTTTCAAGCCAATTTGGAACTGGCTCAGCTAGAACTGATCAGGTATACATGCTTTTAAGTGCCTACATATGACAAATAAGAACTTCTTAAATTTTTCCACTCATAACTTCCTGAGAAGTTTTTTATATAGCCCGAGGTAATAGATGTGTATAATAAGTATAAAATATAAACATTTACTGATGATTAATTATAAATTTATTTTAAGGTAATCTTTGTCATAAACTTATAAACTTTACAATTTATTAAAGGTGAAATTAAATTTATTTAATAATAAAATAGATATGCTTATTTATACAATAGAATTTAATTTTTAATTTATGTGTGGCCATGTCTGTATGGATTTCTTACAACTTTATAGCCTTTCTATCCTTGGACTCCATAGTGGAAGAGAACCAATACCATATTTGTCCAGTGACTTCCACAAATACTCAGATGCAATACATGCAAATAAAGAAATAAGCAAGAGAGAAAGAATATTTTAAGATACCAAAAGGAACTGGAAGGATGAGTCAGTGGTTAAGAACACTGGCTGCTCTTCCAGAGGAACTGGGTTCGATTCCTAGCTTCCACATGGCAGCTCAAAACTATCTGTGGCTCCAGTTCCAGAAAATCTGACATTCTCTCACAGACACACAAAAAGGCAAAACACCAATGTGCATAATACAAAAGTAAATTAAAAATAAATAAATAAAAGGAAGAAGGCATAGTGGTGCATGCCTTTAATCTCACCCAGTCCTTGGGAAGCCAGAGGTAGACCTGGTTTGCATAGTGAATTCTAGACAATCAGCACTATATAGTGAAACCTTGTGTCAACAAAACTAATGTAAATAAAAGGAATACTTAGAAGTTTATTTTTTTAATGAAACTCAAACAGCAGTTTCTAATATCAACTATTCTAACATAATACCATCTAGATATTGACTAATTTGATACTTACATCCTCAAGAATGGTATGGATTTGTAAATTTTTTTATTTATTTTTTATGTGCATTGTTATTTTGGCTGTTTGTATGTTTGTGTGAGGGAGTCAGATCTTGGAGTTAGTCAGTTGTTTTTTGCCATGTGGGTGCTCGGAATTGAACCTGGGTCCTTTGGAAGAGCAGTCAGTGCTCTAAACCAATGAACCATCTCCAGTCCATAGGAATTTATTGAAAGCCCTTTTTTTATTTTTGGAGTGATAGGGTCTTTATATAGTCCCAGTTGTCCTAGAGCTTGCTATGTAGACCTCACAAATAATTCTGCCTTTTGAATGCTGTGATTAAAGGTTTGTACTACCATGTCTGGCTAAAGCCTTTGTTTTCCTTCCTTACCTCCCCACCCCCGTTTTGTTTTTCCCAATACAGGGTTTCTCTGTGTACCCCTGACTGACTGAAACTAACTTTGCAGACCATGTTGGCCTTGGATTTAGAGATCCACCTAACTCTGCCTCCAGAGTTCTGGGATTAAAGGCTTGCAAAACCACCCCAAGCTAGCTAGACTTTGTTTTTCATAATTAAGCCAGTATGTTTCTAAAAGAACCAAAAGCTATGTTATATAGTATGACACTGCAGTTTATAACCAGTAGTCACAAATCTGAGCTATTTCAGGGTTCATCAGTAGTTTATGGGGTTATACCACTCACTGTTGTGTATTCAGAATCAAGATTTCAGTGAAGTCATACAACACAGCACTGGGGAGTGCTGCCAGAAACATCTCAAGACTCATTACACATTTGATTTTTAGCTAGTTTTTTGGTTGTTGTATGTATTACTGTTGCCAAATTTGTCATGATTTAGTTACTCAACCCTTAGTCATAACCTACACTTTTTTTTCATAACCTACACTTTTAAAGCTAGATAAGGAATAGATAATGAAATTTTCAAATTTCTGTAACATTTTTCAGTCCATCAAATGATGTTATAGTAAATTTCACTTTAATCAGTCCAGCTTACCATTTCTTTTGTGACACCCTGTGAACATACAAATTATGTTTTAGGGTACTGAGATATGGCTTAGCAGTTGAGAACTCTTTCAGTTCTTAAAGAGGATCTGGGTTCTGTTCCTAGCATCCTCATAGTAGTAGCTCATAACCATTCTTTGGGTTTTTTTTGTTTTTATTTTTGTTTTTTTGTTTGTTTGTTTGGTTGGTTGGTTGGTTTGGTTTGGCTTTCTGTCTTGTTTTTGTTTTCAAGACAGGACTTCTTTTTGTAGTCTTGGCTGTCCTTGAACTAATTATGTAAAGCAGGCTGGCCTTGAGATGGTAGAGACCCATCTATCTGTCTATGCCTCTCAAGTGTGTGCCACTATATGTTTTTAATTTTATGTATTTCAGTTTTTACTTACATATATGTAATTTCACCTCATGTAAGCTTAGTGTCTGTCATTAGAAGCCAAAAATTTGAGTTATAGAGGCTGTCAGATACCCTTTGGGTTCTGGAAATTGAACCAGTATCTTACTTAAAGTGTTTTTAACCTCTAAGCCACTTCTCCAGCTCTATAATGTTTAAGTCTTACCTTCATATTTTTATTCCTTGTTGTTTACAAATATGCTGCATTTAAGAACAGTGGTGCTTTTACTACCAGCTATGTATTAGGCTAAGGCAGTAAGAATCACTTAACCTCCTGAGTTCAAGACCAGCCTGAGCAGCAAAGTGAGTCCCTATCTCAAAAATAGTAAAACACTGGTAAGATGGCTTAACAGGTAATGGCACTTGTTCAGTCACTGGTAACCCACATGATAGAAGGGGAGATTACACTGACTTTTTCTTTTATTATTTAATAATTCTTTCTTATTTTTCATATCGATCCCAGTTTCCTCTCCCTCTCATTCCATCGACCTCCCTATCCCATCCCCCTATCCACTCCACAGGGAGGGTGAGGCCTTCCATGAGGGGCCATCAAAATCTGTCTAGTCATTTGGGGGTAGGGCCTAGGCCCTCCCCCATGTTTCTAGGCTAAGGGAGTATCCCTCCATGGGAAATGGTCTCCCAAAGTCCCTTTGTGCACTAGGGACACAGCCTGGTTTTACTGCCAGAGGTCTCATAGACTTCCTGCCCAGTCCTCCTGTCTCCACTGACTTTTCCATGTGTACATTAATTAAATTAATGTAAAAAGATTTGTTGAAAAAAGTTTTCAGACCAATCTTATAAAAAGATCTAAGAATCCCCAGCTCTTCACGTGATGCCTAATGGTTGGTGGTGTCAATCAATGTTATAGAGCCAAACTTGTAATGGGCCAGTGAGATGGCTTCTTGGGTACACAGTTGTTTACTGTTAAGCCTGACAACATAAGTTCCATCTGCAGGACCCACGTGATAAAAGGAGAAATTGACTCCTGAAAATTATTTTCTGATCTCCACTAGTGTGGTTTGGCATATGCAACACATCACACAAGAACACACATGAAAACCAAATAAATGTGATTGATATTATTTAAAAAAAAAAAAAAAAAAAAAGGTAAAGGGAGCTGGGTAGATGAAGTAGCTGCATCATGAAGTTATGATAACCCGAATTTGATCCCTAGAACGTATATACAAAAAGCTAGGTGTAATGTTACTTGCTTGTGGCATCGGTGCTAGTAAGGCAGAAATAGGTGATCTTGGCACTCGCTGACCAGCCAGATTAGCCCCCTCAGCAAGCTTCGGTTCACATGAGAAAGCCTGTCTCAAGAACGAGGTGGATAATATTTAAGGAACAGCATCTGAGTTTGACCTCCATATACATGGACCATACATGCACACGCATAAAGGGTGCAATTTTTTCAGATGGCTACCTTATTCTTAGGTGTAGCTCCATGCAAGAAAAGAAGTGTAGCTGGGCCATTGTAGTGACACTTTTACTCCCAGCAGATCTCTGAGTGCCAGGGCACCCTGGGTTACAGAGGGAGTTCCAGGACAGCCAGACCTACACAGAGAAACCCTATCTCAAAGAATATAACTCTTTGTGAAGTACATGTTTTCTTTCTCTCTTTCTACCATGTTCTTGAGGATTGAACTCATCATCAATCTTGTCAGGAGGAGCCTTTTCTCACTGAGCTGTTTCTTTAGCTACAGTTTTAAAATAACCTTTAAATAGGCTATTTGGGGAATGCTTGCTATACTTTACTTTCTTTTTCCTTTTTCTGTGTTCCTTTCCCTTGTTCTTATTCTTTTGATTTATTTTTCATTTTGAAGCACAGTTTCTCTTTATAGGCCATACTGGCCACAAACTCATAATCTCTTTAACCTCAGACTTCTAAATGCTGGGATTATAGGCACGTGTGACCTTTTTTCCTTTTTCAATAAAATAAATGGGGAAAATATAGCAAGTAAATATAGATATTTTTAAAAGGTGAAATATAATTCATTGTAATAATAATAATAATAATAATAATAATAATAACAATAAATACTTATCTATAGATAACTCTGTAGACCAGAATGGCACAAACTCACAGAGACCCACCTGCCTCGGATAAGGATTAGCTTGCACCAGTTCTTAAAATCTTTACTATTTGAAATTAATTCTGCCAGGTGTGGGGTGGCACAAGCCTTTGGAAGAAGAGGCAGGATTTTTGTTCTGTTTGTTTAAGATTTATTTATTATGTATGTAGTATTTTGTCTGCATGTATCCCTGCAACCCAGAAGAGGGCACCAGATCTCATTATAGATAGTTGAGAGCCATCATGTGGTTGCTGGAAATTGACTCAGGACCTCTGGAAGACCAGCCAGTGTTCTTAACCACTGAGCCATTTCTCCAAGAACCCAGGCAGGTTCTTGAACTCTTGAGTTCAAGGTTATCTTGGTCTACATAATGTGTCCTGGAAAGCCAGGACTACGTAATAGACTTAGTCCAAATAAAGAAAGAAAGAAAAATTAATTCTAACTGAACAGAATAAAATTGGTGAGAACCTTTATAGATAAAAACCTGTTTTATAAATATTTTGGATTATATTTTCAATAGTTTTCTCTTGCTATTTTTCAGCACTTCCAGTACGTTTTCTTCTTCTTCCTTGTTTTTGATTTTTTTTTTTTTTTTTTTTTTTTTTTTGAGACAGGGTTTCTTTGTGTGGTCCTGGCTGTCCTCTCTCTGTAGACCAGGCTGGCCTTGAACTCACAAAGGTCCACTTGCCTCTGCCTTCTGTATTAAAGGTGTGTCCCACCACACCTGACTAACACTGTGTTTTCTTGTAACCAGTCCTCTTATATTGCTTCTCCTTAGAGCAGTAAGGCGCGTTTTGGGTTTTTTTGTTTTTGTTTTTATTGTTTTGTTTTTAAATACCTATTGATGTAATAAATTATAGATTCCCCATATTGCCCAGAAGACAATTTCTCCTCTAGATGCCATTATGCTGGCGATTCACTTCATTGCACTTGGCCTTTTGCTTTCTTTTCAGTCGTCTCTGTGGTAGCCCTTGTCCAGCAGTGTGGCCTGATGTTATCAAGCTGCCCTATTTCAACACCATGAAACCGAAGAAACAATATAGGAGACGTCTCAGAGAAGAATTCTCGTTGTGAGTTTAGCATAATCATATTACATCTGTTTTCTGGTTTTTAGCTTTTGTTGGAACTTGACTTACTTTTAAGCTCAATTTTTTACAGCAAACATTTAAGTTACATTTTCTTTTCAAAAGATTTATTTATTTTGTGTGCATTGGCATTTCACTTGTGCAAGTGTTGGATTACCTGAAAATGGAATTACAGACAATGTGAGCTGCCATATGGGTGCTGAGAATTGAACCTGGGTCCTCTGGATGAGCAGTTAGTACTCTTAACCAGTGAGCCATCCCTACAGCCCTTTAATTATGTTTTTGTTGTTTTATTTTTCTGAGACAGTCTCACTGTGTAGTCTTACTTGGCCTAGAACTCACTACATAGATTAGTCTGGCCTCAAACTTAGAGACCCTGGTCATATTCATTCATTCATTTATGTATTTGTGTGTGGAGGTCAGAAGGTGGAATCCAGTCCTTTGACCATGTGGGTCCTAAGGATATATATAATATTGGTTGTAAGGCTTGATAACAGATACCTTTACCAGATGAGCTACGTAAACTACCCCTGGAACTGGGGTTTGGAAAAGTGTGAATGGCCATGTGGGTACTGGAAATTGAATCTGGGTCCTTTGAACCATCTCTCCACTTTTAGACATTTTATTTTTGTAGAGTTTGTTTTATCAGACCCTATTGCTAATTTCTCTTTTGAAGGCCTTAGAATTTGAAAACCATTTTATTTTGAACAATATGTGGATTTCCTTGTATATTTTTTGATTTTCCTAAGGAAGAATTGTTGGTTTTAATAGTTTTCACCTGCACTGTAGCATTTCTTAAATCATGGCTCAGATTTATTGCCTGAATTAGCCTGTTTCCACTTTCCTTTGCTTAGCTTTATATGGAGATACAGGTTTCAAGTTTGAGAACTAAGAGATTGTTGTAAGTGTTTGATATCTCTGTTCCTTTTTATAGCATTCCTTCAGCAGCGCTTGATTTATTAGACCACATGCTGACGCTTGACCCCAGCAAGCGTTGCACAGCTGAACAGACCCTGCAGAGTGACTTCCTTAAGGATGTGGAACTCAGCAAAATGGCACCTCCAGAGTAAGTATAGGTATCTATATAATGAATGATTCTAAACTTTTTCCTAGACTCAGAAAATGAGAAACTTAAAAAAAAAAAAAAAGAAAGAAAGAAAAGATAAGTTTATCAAAATAATTATAAATGATTATGTCAGTTCGGATAGAATGTTAAATTAGGAATAGATTTAATAAATTTGTTGTAATCACTTCAAGAATATTTCTAATTTTAGTTTACATCATTTTCAGGTCAATTCATATTTTATTTATTTATTTATTTATTTATTTATTTTTAAGACCAGGCTGTCCTTGAACTCACAGATTTGCCTGCCTTTGTCTCCATGATTTTTTTATGTAACTATATAGTTTTGGTTTATCTCTTTCATCACAATTTATTTTTATTTTATACTTTTCCGTGCACTCACACGTGTGCATGTGTGTATAAATAGAATGTACATTAGAGGATCTTCAGTGATTCTATACCCACATTCAGCTTTATGTATAGCACATACAACATCCCTTATCTTTGAACTTACCACTAGAAGTATTAATAGCTTTTATGCTAGATTTATGTTTGTTTATGTCAGTACTATGGTCCTTACACACATGTTACTCAAGTAAAATGCTTTGTCACTGAGCTATCTTCCAAAGCCTCTTGTTTGTGCTGGGGTTTTTTATGTGGTTTCTTTCATTTTACTTATTTTTAAATGTGCTTATGTAAGTGGTTTCCTGTGGGGGCCAGAAGATGGTGTCAGATTTCCTGTAACTTTCAGCCACCAGACTTGGGTGCTGGGAACTTAAGTCAAGTTCTGTATAAGAACACCACAAGCATTTAACTAATGAACACTTTGTCCACCTTTTTAGGGTGTGTGTTTGTTTTTGAGATTTTGTTTTGTTTTGTTTGAGGTATGGGATGGTCTCACTGAGTTATCTAAGCTGGCCTTGAATTTAGGGTCCTCTTGCCACAGATTTGTTTTCTTAACAGACAGAAAGATTGGATAGATATGGTGGTACACACATATACACTTGTAATTCCAGAACTTGGGAGGGATGGTAACTATCAATTTTATTGTTCAAGGATCTATCGAAATTAACTTATTATATTAGAATTTTTATATGTATGCTTTTTACTGAAATTTAGGAGCTATTATATAGTTTTGCTCATTTGTTTGTATTTTGAGACACACTGTTAACCCTGGGTGACCTGGAACTCATTAAGTAGATCAGGCTGGCCTGAAACTAACAGAATTGGTCTCACCTTCTTCTGCTTCTTAGTTACTAGGATGAAATATATGCCCAGCTTATTAACTCCATGAATAAAAAAGTTGATGATAACCAATCATGGAAATTCACTGAATTTTTTTGTACACTGATGATTTAATCACGATATGTCTATATAGTTCCAAGATTTCTTTCTTTTCTTTTTTGGTTTTGGGTGTCTTTCCCCCCCCCCCCCCCCCAGATAGGGTTTCTCTGTGTAGCCTTAGCTGTCTTGGAACTCACTGTGTAGACCTAGTTGGCCTTGAAGTCACAAAAGTCCATCTGCCTCCTGAGCTCTTGGATTGAAAGTGTGTACCACTACCACCTTTTTAATTCCAACATTTAAAGCACTATCTCTTCTGTTTTTGCATTGTGTGTGTGTTCACACTTTTGCCAAGTTACATGTGAAAGGTTAGAGCAAGTTTTGGGAGTTGGCTTTCTTTTTCTGTCATGTGTTTTAAATTTGAACTCGGATTGTTATGCTTAGTGGCAAGTCCTTTACCTATTGAGACATATCCTAGCTCTTTTCCTAGGCTTTCATAACTTATAAGGTGTTCATCTCTGTGCTTGGCCAGTAAAGGTACTAATTTTGTACCAATATAAACTGTTTTTGACCATATAGGAATTGGTTCTAGTATTAACAAGGTCCTTTTTTCTTATTGAGCAAATAGTTCTATACACTACCACCTGCCAGGATTCTTTTTATACTGCATACTAACATTTATGTTTCTTTATTTACCGTGTTCCTTGCTTTTCTAAATTAATTATTTTTTCGTTTACGCACTCCTTATTCCTGCTTTGTTTTGTGTCTTTCCAGCCTACCTCACTGGCAGGATTGCCATGAATTGTGGAGTAAGAAACGTCGACGCCAGCGACAAAGTGGTATTGTAATAGAGGAGCCACCACCATCCAAAACCTCTCGAAAAGAAACTACCTCAGGGACAACAGCTGAGCCTGTGAAGAACAGTAGCCCAGTACCCCCTCAGCCTGCTCCTGTCAAGGCAGAGCCTGGTCCCGGGGATGCAGTAGGTCAGTGCTGAGATGGAGCCTTCTACTTCTATTAACTGCACTTATGTAGATTTTAAGGGTAGAATGCATATATGTTCATAACCCTGTGGGGTTTTTTGGTTTGTCTTTTGTTGTTGTTTTTTGTTTTTTTTGTTCAGTGGAATATTACGAGAGAGTTGTGGTCATTTCTCAGGAGAAGATAAACCTTATTTTTTACACATGGTTCAGAAAGTTGAAATAAGGAATACTGTATCTCTCTTGATTGTTTTGGCAGAAACTAATCAATTAAATAACTAAAATTCAAGGTTAGTTTGTTCATGGCTTTTTTATTACTCATTTATGTGTATGGGTGTTTGTCATCATGTACATCTGTGCACTATTTGTGCTTGATGTTTGCAGAGCTAGAAGCAGATGTCAAATACCCTGGGGTTGGAGTTATAGACAGTTGTGACCTGCCATGTGGGTGCTGGGAATTGAACCCAAGTTCTCTGGATAAGCAACCAGTGCTCTTAACCTCAGAGACAGCTCTCCAGCCCATGACTCATGGCTTTTTAGCAATAATTTAGAGTTATATATGTTAGATTTGAAAAGGCTTTAGAATTCAGCCATGTCAAATCAGAATTGCTAAATGTAGTTGGTTCTGTAGTCTATTACTTGACCTGTTATACTAAAGCTGTGTCAAAATAACCATTATAACAACATATTTCTCCTATAATAGCACAGCCTGTTTTTTTTTTGTTTGTTTGTTTGTTTGTTTTGTTTTGTTTTGTTTTTTTGGGAACTGCCGGTCTTTTTCATTTTCTCTTCTATGTCAACCCAATGGTCTTGAAATTAGGACCTTTAGCCTCCAAAGTAGCTGAGATTACAATGTTATTTTCAACATGTGGTACACATTAGAATCATCTAGTGTGGTAGCAGATAACTGCAAAAAAAAAAAAAAAAACCCAGAGCACTGGGGAGGTAGATTCAGGAGAATCAGAAATTCAAAGTTATCTATTACTACACACCAACTTTAAGGCCAGCCTGAGATACAGGAGATAAATAAACATTAAATGAATATCTAATTTCTTGGCACATTAGGCACCTGAGTTCTTAAATCTGTCTTAGCAGTTTTTACATATAATGTTTGTTTAAAAATTCACTGACATAGAATACAGATAAGATCTAATCACTTGTGTATATAATGCAGACATGCTTTATTTAGGTATTCCTTGCATTTTATTTATTGTTTTACTTTTTATTTTGTTTTAGATGCCACATAATGTATGTAGGGTTCAGAAGACAACTTGTAGGAATTGGTTCTCTCCACTACATGGGTCCTGGGCTTTATATAGTTTTCCATCCATCCATCCATCCATCCATCCATCCATCCATCCATCCACCCACCCACCACCCTTCCTCCCTCCACCTCTGTCTGTCTGTCTATCTATCTATCTATCTATCTATCTATCTATCTATCTATCTATCTATCTATCTATCTGGTTTTTCGAGGCAAGTTTTCTCTGTGTAGCCGTCCTGGCTGTCCTGGAACTTGCTTTATAAACCAGGCTGGCCTCAAACTCACTGAGATGCACCTGCTTCTGCCTCTCAAGTGCTGGGATTAAAGACATGTGCCACCAATCCCTGGCTGTCCTTGAATTTTTAAACCCCAAAAAACAAAACAAAAAAAAAAAAAAAACTATGTTGTAATCTGAGATATATATTAAATTGTGAGGCTTTTAAGCTTTTAAAATGAAACTATGCCTTTGAATATTATAAATTGCTAAATTGCTTTAGTCAGTTGAAGAAGACAAAAGGCCTTGCCTTTACTTGTCATCTTATATTGGCTCCATTCTCATCCTACAGGCCTTGGTGACATCACACAGCAGCTGAATCAAAGTGAATTGGCAGTGTTATTAAATCTGCTACAGAGCCAAACTGACCTGAGCATCCCTCAGATGGCACAGCTGCTTAATATCCACTCCAACCCAGAGATGCAACAGCAGCTGGAAGCCTTGAATCAATCTATTAGTGCACTGACTGAAGCCAGTTCCCAGCAGCAGGACTCAGAATCCATAGCCCCAGAGGAATCATTGAAGGAGGTACCCTCTGTATCAGTGGTCCTGCCTTCAGCAGAACAGACAACCCCTGAAGCTTCAAACACAACAGCTGACATGCAGAATATGTTGGCAGTTCTCTTGAGTCAGCTGATGAAAACCCAAGAGCCAGCAGGTAACCTGGAGGAAAACACCAGTGACAAGAATAGTGGGCCACAGGGACCCCGAAGAACTCCTACAATGCCACAGGAGGAGGCAGCAGGTAAACAGACCGGTCATGAATCTCATTGAGCTCAGGTGCTGTTGATCCTCTTAAAAATCTCTTAATGTTTTCTTTTTTACATCATTGGTCTCAAGTTTCAGTTTTCTGTAATCTAGTTTACAGGAGAACATAGCACCAAATGATGTATTTCTTGTCCCGCTTTTTCATTTAAGTCTCAAAGCACCTTTCATATATACTTAATAAGGTACTGGTAAGTAAAGCCCCTATTTTCTAACCAAATAGACCAAAGCCATAGGTAGTGTGAGGTATCTTGAACCACTACATATGTGGTGTAGCTAGCTAGTCCTAGAAAATCTGATTTTAAATAAACATGAAATTGTTCTTTACATCTAGTGGAATGAATCCTGGATGCCAGAATCTTGTCTGGAAGATACAGTCAAGAAAATTTAATAAAATGTCATTTCAGTTCCTGAAAATAATCGGGGAATTTTTCTAAGCAGATAACACCTTACATTTTCTTTCCAAAAAGTAATTCTATACAAAAGTGATAATTTTTGAGTCTGTTTCTGAAAGATCAGGAAGTAAGCTTTATGAAAAGAAAAAGCAAAGTCTGAAGGTGAAAAAAACGTGTGTTGAACCTTCTGTCACATGGCCACAACTGTGCAGTTGTAAATTCTCTATTCAATTCTGATTCCAATCTGTTTGCAAAATCTTACTGTCTGAAAATGTTTTCAACTCCTTGGAAATTTTCATTGGCCTTGAAGATCCCATGCTTTGGGGAATAAGAAGAGCCCCAGAGGCTGAAGAGGTATACTAACTTTGAACTTTAGGGTCCTGCATTTACATTTCATCTGGTTTGGTACAGAAAATATATTTTTATTTTCACTAGTATAAGGTCAAATACATAACCTGCTTTTTTTGTATGTGAAATTATTAAAACTAAAAGACAATAAAATTAACCTTTTCTTTTGTGAATAGGAAAACTACAGCCTAAGAAATTTAAGTAAGTCGGTACTCTGCTGAGTATTGGCAGACAAAATTAGAACTTGTACACTCACATGTCTTGATTCATTTTGCTATTCTCTATGATGACTCCAGTTGTTTTCAAAGACAAAGTAGTAGAAAAGGCTATATAATGGGGCTTGAGAGGTAGCTCAAAGTTTAAGAGCACTGGCTGCTCTTACAGAGGACTTGGGTTCAATTCCCAGCACCCATTCAGTGGCTCACAGCTGCCTGTAACTCCTGTTTCAGAGGATCTGATGCCCTCTTCTGCCCTCCACAGGGATCAGGTACACACAGACATATATACAGACTAAACATACATGCTATAAAAGTAAATATTTAAATTAAGACTACTGTAGAATTAGAGTAGGCTTTTTAAGTTTTATGTCTTAGATCCTACCCATCATCCCTACCAAAAAAAAAAACCCTTTTTTTTTTTGTTTTTCTCAACCAAAATCAAAGTGTCTGAAAGAACTTGTTCAAATGAAATAATATCCTGATAGAAGAATATTCACCAAGTAATAGAGACAAAAAAAATGTCACAATCACATGAAATTGAACTGAAAATAAGTCATAGTTTGTTGCTAGAAGTTGGATATGGATTTTAGAGGCGAGTGTAAAAATGCCACAACTAAGGATGTTGGGTGTGATGTCATACATTTTTGACTTCGGCACTCAGGAGGCAGAGACAGGTAGATTTCTGTGATTTCAACACCATCCTAGTCCTACATAGAAAATTCCAGGCCAACTACCTGGTCTCAAAAAACAAACAAAAAAACAACAACAACAAATCCACCAAAATTTGCAACTATTTATTATAGTCATCCCTGGGTTATCTAATGTGTCTGGTGTTATGTAGCACATTCTGACCTCAATGCCTCCTGCCTCATACCACCATACCCTGGTGCCTCTTGCTTGGCCATTTCACTGTTCATTAAGCACTTCCACCAGAGGGCAGACAATATAAACAAGAAAGGTAATAATGATCTTGGTTTGGTAATTTAGTTTTTCTGTACTTGTTAAGAAAGGGTAATGGTTGAAGCTACTTTTACATTTATTTACCTCGCTCCATTAGTCTGAAACTATTATAGATTGATAACATCAAAACTTTAAATCTGAGGACAATATGATTTATACTTTTAGTTTTACTTACTTAAAACACTTTATTAACTTTAGTAGTTCTTTTGTTTTGTTTTCGAGACAGGGTTTCTCTGTGGCTTTAGAGGCTGTCCTGGAAACTAGCTCTTGTAGACCAGGCTGGTCTTGAACTCACAGAGACCCACCTGCCCCTGCCTCCCGAGTGCTGGGACTAAAGGTGTGCGCCACCACCACCCGGCTTTAGTAGTTCTTTCAATGAAAATTGGTACAATTGAAAGAATGTACACTTAAACTGCCATTTTCATAGCCATGTCTTTTAAGGTTAGTTTGGGATTTTTTTCTTCCCCCTCAACTATTATAAAATACTTGTCATTTCATGAATAGGTTCTAAATACTTTTTTCTTCCTTTTAATATCACTGGTACTTGAATGTCCTTATAAAGATAAATAAGTAGTGTTGAGAGTAAAAGCTCTTAAACATATGGTATAGTTCAGGTACCCTATCCTTTCAGGTTATTTATTCTCCAAATTGTAAATTTTCAGTGGCTGATTTTTTTTTCTCCTTAAATATATTTTTCCCTGGTACTCAGACAACCAGCCAGTCAACAAGTAACTTGGAGTTACATATTATAAAGTCTGTTATTCTGTTCAAAACTGAAAGTTGATACCCTGCCTCCCCTTGCCTGCTCAGCTTGTGCCTCCGATCCCAGAAACTCTAGACTGGTTACCTATTTGTTCCTTCATATAGCACATGGCCTCATTTTCCACTTCGGATTGTTAAAATTATATATTATTTTTAAAAGTACTTTCATCTGCTTACTTGGGGAATCCAAACTTAATTACTTTCCAATGTGTGCTCAAGATAATTATGCTACAGAAATATCAAATTATAACCAAAAACACCAAAAACTGATTTTGGCTTGCCTAAGTAATGACAATAATACATCACTAACAAAATAGAAGAGTGATCATATAGATGTTTTTAAATATTTCTGTAGGGAAAAAAGAAAATTGGTCGTTTGGAAGATAAAACCAAAACAGACTTTTTTTTTTTTTTTTTTTTTAAAGCATGTTGGTTCTCCATATTTGAACACATTAATCTTACTATGCTTTTTAGTATTAGTTTTAGTAGTTTTCTAAGGCCTCAAACTCATTTTGTTGTATCTCTCATCTCTTGCTTTGGTAAGAAGTCATTGTCAGGCTACTTTAGACAGCAATGAGAAAGCCAAAGTTTGGGGACATGGTTCAGGAAAGATCTCAGTAATAATTGAGCATAGTATTAGTTCAGCATATTCCTGAATACTAAATTCTTAACACAGGATGAACACGTTTTATCAATAGTCCATTTCTGCATAACATTGCTATAGAGTGACTTCTCTCTTTTGTAGCATAAAAATAATGAAGAAGGTAAGAAAACAAAATAGAAAATTACAATAGGATTACTTTGGTCTTTACAATTATTACAGTTATTTGGGAAACTGAGTAACAGTGTAGTTGGGTAATATCCAACTTGAAGATATAGTTATGGGGAGAAATGACTAATATTTGGAGAAGCAAAATAACTTTTTATACATGTTGAGTTTCTTCTTGATTGCATCTCTCCTGTATAGTCTTTTAAGTTGTATTTCAGGTTAATCTTACATCATCAAACATTGTGTAAATGTGTTAGCCAGGTCTGCAAGTTGTACAAAAAGATTATGTACTAGAAATGTGACTACAGCATGTATATTGTTCCTTCTCAATTTTCTTTCTGCTTTATTTCCAATAATGCTTTGATTTAACAACAGAAGGGATGGAGAGGTTGCCAACAATCTGCATATTAGAACAGTTCTTTAAGGAAGGAAATCTCAGACAAAATTCAGGACAATCATTTGAAACATAACATCTTTTTATACCAGCTGTTAAGTCCAGAGTACAACTGTTTTACTTCTACTCACTTGATTATTTTATTTATAAATTTCAGTTTCCTGATCCCAAGGTTTTCTTTAATGTTATCTGGTTACTTGTATTGGTACTTATTTATGTTGGGTAGTATGTTCTTGTGTTTATAATCACATGTGATTTTTAAGATGGTGTTTAAAAGAAGTAACCCTTCCACAGCATGTCCTCCTCACATTCTTCCACCAGAGAAGAGGCCCCCTGAGCCCCCTGGACCTCCACCGCCGCCACCTCCACCCCCTCTGGTTGAAGGCGATCTTTCCAGCGCCCCCCAGGAGTTGAATCCCGCCGTGACAGCCGCCTTGCTGCAACTTTTATCCCAGCCTGAAGCAGAGCCTCCTGGCCACCTGCCACATGAGCACCAGGCCTTGAGACCAATGGAGTACTCCACCCGTTCCCATCCCAACAGGACTTATGGAAACACTGATGGGCCTGAAACAGGGTTCAGTGCCACTGACACTGATGAACGCAGTTCTGGTCCAGCCTTGACAGAATCTTTGGTCCAGACCCTGGTGAAGAATAGAACCTTCTCAGGCTCTGTGAGCCACCTTGGGGAGTCCAACAGTTACCAGGGCACAGGGTCAGTTCAGTTCCCAGGGGACCAAGACCTTCGTTTTGCCAGGGTCCCTTTAACATTACACTCTGTGGTTGGGCAACCATTCCTGAAGTCTGAGGGAAATAGCAACTCTGTTGTACATGCAGAGACCAAATTGCAAAACTATGGGGAGCTGGGACCAGGAACCACTGGGGCCAACAGCTCAGGAACAGCTCTTCAGTGGGGGGGCCCAGCTCAGTCTTCTGCTTATGGAAAACTCTACCGGGGTGCAAGAGTTCCACCACGAGGGGGAAGAGGGAGAGGAGTTCCTTATTAACCCAGAGACATCAATGCCCTGAAAGATTCCTTCCCTATCAATCTTTCCATCTAGTCCTCTGAACCTTTAATGAAATCACTTGCCAGAGCAAGGTAATCATCTGTATTTGGCTACTGCAACACTGTCCGTTGTTTTCCTTGCTCACTTGCTACTAGCAAGAGACTCAACGATGTTGGCACCAGTTCCTCCTGGTGGGCAATAGCCAGAATATTTACTTCTGCTTTATGTAGGAGCTATAGTAAAAAATACGGAGAAAACCGAGACGAGACATTCGGTTGAATAGTACCTTATTGCCTGCACTTGAGCAGAAAAGAGTTATGTTTTGAGATGGCTCTGAAAAGGCTTTGGTTTTTAAAGTTTTGTTTCGTGTGTGTGTGTGTGTGTGTGTGTGTGTGTGTGTGTGTGTGTGTACGTGGGTATGTTTGTGTGCGGTTTCTTTTGAATTTTTATTTAGTTCTCCATTCCCCTTTAAAGAGAATAGTATTCACAAGATCTGAGCTCCTCTTAGGGTTTTACTAGAAGGGAAAACAGTGGCTTAAATGTTCCCTTCCTCGCTACCATCTCACATTTTTGCTTCAGTGAGCACTCCCCTTACCTATGTTAAGCATCTTGTACATACCTATTCCAAATAAATTACTCATCCTTAAGTTTGCTCAATTTTGACAAAAGTTATGTTCCTCTTCCTGCTCATTAAAGCAGGCTGTAGAAAGTGGCATTCTTGGGCAAGTAAGTAGATTTTTACCCAGTCTTTGCTTTTTGCCTGTTTACATTTTCCTCCTCCTCCCCTTCCTTTTTGTCCCTCTCTTTTTCTTAACCTATGTGTGTCTTCCCCTCTTCTCTCCATATCTTTTTGAGGCATTTGTTTAGAAGAAAATATAGTAAAGATGCCCAAGAACCTGGAATACTTTTATTTTTTTCTTTTTTTTTTTTTTTTTTAATAAAGGAAAGGAAATTTAAACTCCTACATTGTTCTCTGTAACTCTTCAATTCTAAAATTTTTATTTTGTTTTTTAAGCCAGTTCTAAATGAGAGGTTGATTTGTAAATGATAGGACATTGCTGCTGAGCTTTGGTTAGAGATGGCACCTACATACATACCTAGAGGGGTAATAAGATCAATAAGCATGTTTACATGTATATTTTTATGTTTAAGGAAAAAAGCCTTTCAAACAGAGCCTTGTGATATTGTCAGAGGAAAATCCTGAAAATACATGGACATGTAACCTAGCTTAGGGTGTATATCTGAAGATATATCAATCCCCAATACCTTCAAAGAAAAAAATTTAAGCAGCTTACCATGGGAAAGAACAATAGTGATAAAGTATACATCACAGCATGTATAGCCTACCATTTCTTGTAAGGATCACTTTGTGGTAAAGGGTTTAAAGTATGATTTCACGAACTTTGCCTTATCAAAACAGGAAATGGAAGAGAGAAAGGATCTCAGAGTGAGATAACTTGAGAAGCTTCTCATTAAGGCTTCCATTTCTGAGTATCAGCATCTGGACTATTGTAAAAGTATATATGTCATATATTGGCCTGCACAGACTTAAAGAGGTTTGTGAAATGTAGATTAAGCTCCCTTTTACAAAGAAAAACCCAAACATACTTGAGCATCTTGAAGAATAGTTTTCAGAACTGAGTGAAATTTCATGTTTCAATACCAAGTTCTTAAGTTAAAATATATATTTAGAAAGGTGTATTAATTTTTTAAAAATTTAAAGAGGTGAAAGAACCCTCTTCAGCTACATAAGAATTATTTTCCCCTGTTACAGAAATAGATACCTGTGTGTATATTTCTTTATTTTCTGGATTTTGGTCTGGCTTTGCCATAAGGCCAAACACTAATAGTAAGTGGACCTTCTAGCCATTTGGCTTTGATAGCTTTTTTTATGCCAGGATGTTTGATTAGATATCCTAGGCACAGTGAGATGCTATCCATAGATTGCATTAAAGTTTATCTGTACCTTCAGTCTGCTACTAGTTAGTCCTCAGACGTGGGCCTTATTTTAGGATATTTTATTGTAAGGTATTGGGCCCCAGTCCCATATTTTTGATTAAAGAAACTGAGCGGGGATACATACGTACATAAGTATCTGTTCAGTGAAAAAACTGTTTTCCCATCAAATATGAATAAATTTCTCTATATATTTTCATTGTATTTTGGTTATGGACAGTCATCAATAATGTTTTCCCTTCCCTTCTGCCACACTATATTTTTAATTATGCCAAATAGTCTAAATAATTTACGTAAGCTTCCATTCCCCCATCCCTACTAGGGAAGCGGGTGAGTGTATGTGAATGTGTGTATATGTATGTGTGAACCTGTTTCACCCCCACCCCATTTTGGGAGTCTAGCTTTTAAAAAATATTTTTGTAATAATTTTGACCTCTTCTGAAAGCAGAGGAAAGTAACTCATTTAAATATCCTGAAATCTGTGTGGAGGAAGAAAAGGTATTTGGTCATTTTTCAGCTACATTATATCTATAAACATAATTGAAGTAAAAAAATGGCTTAATTTTCAACCCAACTATTTGAAAATTAGAAGCCTAGTTCTATTAAAAAATGGTTTGGGTTTTACCTATTGTGTCATCAAATACATTAGTTTGAAAGTTGAGAAATCTAATTCTGTTTATGAATAAGAGGCAAAACTGGCTTGACCATGATCGTCTGTGTGTGTGTGTGTGTGTGTGTGTGTGTGTGTGTGTGTGTGTGTGCGCGCGTGTGTGTGTGCAGTTTTTAAAAGCAGATTGCTTAACCCAGTTTCCTTAGTTTTTTTCATCTGTCTATAGGGATAAGAACTCACAAATTATATAACAGCTGTGTATTTACAAAAGGGCAGTTAGCAACAAGTTTGTATGTAGGACTTTTGTTAGCTTATAATCATCACTCTGTGTGTGTGTGTGTGTGTGTGTGTGTGTGTGTGTGTGTGTGTGTGTGTGTGTGTGTAATATGCATATATAGGTACAGTGCTTAACTGGTTACCAGCAGGTTTTGAGAGAGAATGGTGCATTGGAAAAGTGTCAGTTGCCAACTCATTCTCCCTGATTTATAGGTTCCTGACACTGTATTCCTTTCTCTCTCTTGATTTTGGCCCCCATTGGGTGTACCTTGTCTATGTACAGATATTTTGTAATATATTAAATTTTTTCTTTCAGTTTATAAAGATGGAAAGTGGAGATTGGAAAATTAAATATTTCCTGTTAATATACCACTTTTGCTCCATTGCATTTACTTCTAATTTCTGTACCCTTTGAGCATATCTATTGCATGAAGGACATTTTTGTCCTTTATATTATGGGTTCTCAATGTTATAGACTCATAAACTACCAAAATAAAAGAAAATTTCTCAGGATTTGGAGAGGTACTTGAGAATGATAGAGTAAAAACTAAAGAATTAAAATTTGAGTTAGGGGAATCCATAAGAACATCATTTTAAAAAGCAAAAAGTAGAAAATGGATGGTAGTATGAAGCCATCAAGAGTTGAGCTTCATGTACCCTGACTGACTCCTCCTGGCAGGAGAGGTAAGTGGGTTTGAGCTCAACAGGCATCAAAAGAAGCTGGTAAGAATCTGTTTAGACCCAAAGGATGTTCTGAAACCAGGATCCCCACCATTCACCCAGTCTAGTTTTCACAATTTTATACAAGTGGGTCAGTGTGGGGGTTAATGTTTCCAGCTCCCTCTGAGATTTCCTAACAGCAGTAAGCCAGGAAGTGAAGCAGAATTGTTTAAAGGTTAAAGTCTGTACTATTACTAAAATCTTTCCCAACTCTACCGAAGGGGGAAATTGTTCTAATTCTGCTTATGGTTTAGAATACTAAGGAGTCCTTGATAATGTGTGCTCAGTCTAGCTAGGGAAAAGGCAAATTGCATCAGGAGAAAGGAGGAGGAAAAGTGTCTGTCTGAACTTTGTATATGGGATGAGCAAGTTGTAGAAGAGTAAGAAACACCTAGGACATGAACAAATAAGGATTAAAAAGCTGGTGCTGAGGTTTACTTATGCAGGCTAAATTTCTCTGTTTTTGCTGTTCCTTGCCAGTGAGCAAAATCATACCTTTTTCACCCTGATGGAGATTGGAGAACTCCTATTGTTCCTATTCTAAGAATCTTGTTAGTGGTCCATCCGGAGACAATGAATTGGTTTTAGGTCATTGTGCATTGCATGTTTGTGACTAGATGTGAATTTCAAGCTACCAAAGTATATTGTTTCCACTTTATAACAGTGGCTGTCTTAACTCTGTGTCTAAAAACTAAGGACTTAAATATTAAATAGCATGAACTTTTTTCTCTTCATGCACAAAGCCATTTCCATGTAGAAATCCTTTTCAGTACCCAAATTTCTTTAGCACTGTTTTCCCAGATACACACCCTTATTTTTTAAAAGGCGAATATGCCTATAATAAGTTAACAATTGTAAACTAGGGTTTCTTTTATTAAAGTTTGCCCCTCCTCGTTAGATGATATAAAGTTACTGAGTGACTTCTCTTTTCACAGTTTAGTAGTTCTGAAGGGCTAGGTAGAGTGAGAATGAGGAGTTAATTCCTTAGTGGAGAAATAGCCTACCATGTCAAGGGGGAGATGGGCTGCTCAGTCTTTTAGTTGGCCTGAGAGGTAAGGTGAACGAACATTCCTGGACACTAGTTGATGTTTTGTTTTTGTTTTGTTTGCTTTCTCATGTGTGGGAATATCTCCAAGTGTTTCTACAGCCTTAGGACTACTCAGGATAAGTAGAGGATTCCTCCAGCACAGGTTGGAAGACAGCTATGGGAATCATTGGTGCTATCTATCCCACCCCTCACTGGATAAGCAAGCTGTCATTCTCCTTTTCTTGCTTCCTCCCCTCACCTTTTTCTCTCTTTTGTCCCACTCAGGATCCTACTAGGATGTTTTAAGTCTACCATAATTACTGATGACTTAACTCTACTGGGTATTTAAAGATATTATTGCTTCATAGTTTTTGATAATATTTCCAGATAATTCAGAGAATCGACATCTGGTTCTGGAGTGGGAGGTAAAGAGCAAAAAGTAACCATACTTTCTCATTGCAATGGTATGAAAGGAACTTCTGTGTTATGTTTCAGTATTCTTGCTTCTACTCTTTCAGCCTTCACCTCTTCATCTCCCTTATCCTAAAGGTGTTGCTTTTTGCTGGTAACATTTCTAAGTTCAATTGCAGATGACATATATGGGGAATAAAGACTGTTGAGACGAAGGCTATGATAGGGAGTAGAAAGAAAATACAGGCTGTCTTGATGCTTTGGTGATTATCACTCAGGTGCCAAAATGTTTTGACCACTAGGTTTCTCTCCTATTTCTTATAATCTATAGATAGGTTATTGTCAATGAAACTTTCCTATTACATAATCCTCAACTTCAACATACTTCTTTGAAGTAAGGATATAGGCATAAAGTTCACTTATGGATTTTTAAAGACTTATATTGTGTGCAGGTACCCAAGAAGGCCAGAAGTGGTTATCTGATCAACAGGGAGAAGAATTATGAGTAATTGTGAGCCACTTGATGTGTGGGTACTGGGAACCGAATTCAAGTCTTTCTGAAGAGTAACATGCTCTTCCTCTGAGCCATCTCTCCAGCCCCCATAAATGAATTTTTTGGTGTCTTGGTCTAAGGTAGCTGTAAATCCTAGTTGATAGTTGTAAAGGAATAAAGAACAATGTATCCAAACTGAACCATCTCTGAGAGGCTGTTTGAAGTAGTGGATACAGTGTAGCAATCAGTACAAAATGAACAAAGCCTGAGTCTTTACCTAAGGGGCTGTCTCAGAACTTTTAGGGTTCCTAATGAGGGCTACTACTGGTGAAGATCACCATTAAACAACACTCTGGGCTATGCCAATGCAAGTTTGAATTTGTTCAGTTATGGATAAACAGGCCTGCTGCCTCTAAATTTAATTCTGGAACTTATAACTTGCAACTGATAATTTCAACTGCAGTAGGACTCAAAGGCCTTGTTTAAAATAACAAAAACAAACAAAATACAGTATAAAGAGGTGGTGGAAATAGGGCAGGCATGGAAAACTACAGCTGTCTTGGCAGTGGTTCATAAGGTAAAGTTGTGACTGAGCTAGTAAAATTTAGGAGGTGTTTGCTTTAGAGCTTCACTATTTTAGGTTGATCCCATTAAAGTAATTCTGGTTAGTAGAGTTTCCCTTGGTCACAGTAGTACCTTTAGACTTAAAGAATGGGCCTAGAACCCCCAGACTATTGAGTAACTTGACATTCCTTCAGGGTATCTAAAGACCATCAGCAAAAATACATAATTTTTTTTTTTTTTTGAGACAGTCTTCACCATGTAACTGACCTCATTCACAGAGATCTATGTGCCACCGTGCCTGACCTATAAACAAAATTACTAAACAGAGAACTAAAATGTGGCATTTACATATTGATGCTGTTTATATGGTTCAAAAGTAATTCAGGAATAAGGAGTAATATACCAGATGTTAGAAGTTATTTGTATTTTCCAAGTGTTTTTGAGACAGGGTCTCTCTTTGTAATCCTGGCTTTCCTGGGTGTAGGTCAGGCTGACATGAAACTCTACTTTGCCTCTGCCTTCAAAGGGCTGGGATTGAAGGCATGTACCACCACACCTGTTGAAAGTTTTAAGATTGCAAATGGTTTTACATATTTTAGGCCTACCTTCAAACTGCTTATCTTCCCCTTGACTTAGATGAGCAGTGCATAGAAGAGCTGAATGTGTGAATTAAGAGCCTCAGAATGAATGAGCTACAAAAGAACATTAGCTTGAATATTTAAGTGCCATCTTTGACACAGACCCAGAAAGGCAGAGAAACCTATGATGTTGGGAGAAGTAAGGAAAAGGGAATTCATGTTAAAATACTACATGTTAGGCACTATACTAAGTATTTTGCTGGATTAAAGGTGTGCACCATCACACAACTGCTTTTGATATCTTGATTATTGGACAACTTGAAGCCAAAGGTTAGAAGGAATATAAGGCAAATCTCTGAAGACCCTGAGCTGTGTGTAAGAGATAAGGGGAATGGTAGATCACTTTTTCCTCTCTAACCACAAGGCTAATCTACAAGAAGTGAAGAATCTGCATTTTAGGATGAGATTAGACTAAGAAATAATCACTGCTCATTTGAAAGGAGCACATAACTTCACTATTGAAAAAATGATGATCAGGGGCAGGTCTTGTAGGGATCAAGATTACACTTGCATTGGAATTGATTTTCATTCTAGAAATTCAGATTATCTGGGAATATAGAGTTAATCTTGGCCATATTAGGGAACAGGGCCTGAACATAGTGATTAAGCATATCTATAATCCCAGAATATGGAAGGCAGAGGCAGGAGGTTCAGAAGTTTAAGGGCATCCTCAGCTACATAGCAGGTTCAAGGCTAGTCTGGGATGTGTGAAATCCTGTTTTGTTTTCTTCAGACAAGGTCTCACTATATAACTCTAGCTGTTCTGGAACTCATTACACAGACTAGAATCTCACAGAGATCCACCTGCCTATGCCTCACAGGTGCTGGATTAAAGGTACATGCTACCACACCCCAAGAAAGCCTGTTTTTTTTTTTTTTTTTTATGTAATAAAATGAGTTTTTATCCTCAAGGTGCCCTTAAAGAAAATGTTTAAATAGTATGAGTCACTGAGATAAATTTTTTTTTTTTTTAAGTGTGTGTGTGTGTATTTTGCCTGCATGTCTACACCATGTGTGTTAACTGGTGTGTGGCCAGAAGAGGGCATCAGATCCCCTGGAACTGCATTACAGATGGTTGTGAGCTACTTTGTGGGTACTGGGAATCAAACCCAGGTTCTCTGAAGAACAGCTGGTGCTCTTTGAGATATCTCTCCAGCCCCTTGTTTATTTATTTTTTTTTTTTTTTGTTTTTAACACTTTGAAATCACAAAACTGAATTTTTAATTTCTTTTTCCTTTGAGACAGGGTTTCTCAGTGTAGCCCTGGCTGTCCTAGAACTCACTCTGTAGACCAGCCTGGCCCTGAACTGTGGAGATTGGTCTGCCACTGCCTCCTAAGTGCTAGGATTTAAGGTGTGTGCCACTACTACCCAGCCTGAATTTGTACTTTGGAAAGACTGGATGACCTTTGGAATAGGTGGCAACCTGAAAAGTTCACAGATGTTGTATACAAAGAGTTATGCCATAGAAGCACCTTCATTGAAAAGAAAGGATATCACTAGTTAAGTCATATGCTG